AATTTGGAAAACAGCAGTAAACCAAAATTTGATATTTGACTTGATTTTTTATTTTCACTAACCAATTTAAATTGCATTTTTTTTTTCGATTTTAAATTTGAATTTCAACCGGAACCGAACCGAAACTGAACCGAAATTTAGACAAACCGAAACCGAATGTAACTGTAACGTAACCGGAACGAAATTAATTTCGGTTCAATTTTTTTTTTTTTATTAAATTAATTCATAATCGCTTTCTTTCATATAAATAACAATGCAGAAGAGACATCGATGAAGTCTCTTTGAATACTCCGAATTTGTTTTTCAAATAAACAAATAAATAATAAAGAAAACCAAATAAAGCCTCAATAATCGCAATTAACATTAGAAAAAAACTCAAATGAAAGTGATTAACAAGGATGTTATTGTAAACATGATTGAAAAAACATTATAAAGTGCAGGTGTTGAACTAGTCACTAATTGAGGTTTATTCTTTTGTATTTTCATTATTATAATGGAAAACAGCAGTAAACCATAATTTGATATTTGACTTGATTTTATATTTTCACTAACCAATTTAAATTGCTTTTTTTTTCGATTTTAAATTTGAATTTCAACCGGAACTGAACCGAAACTTTTAGCTGAACCGAAACGATAAACATTTACTCGGAACGTAACCGTAAACCGGACTGGAATTAATTTCGGTTCGTCTCTCTGATTTCGCTTATATTCTTTACATAACCTAATTCGATTGAATTAGTTAACAAAAGAAGACTTACGACGACTCAATCAAAGCGGATTAAAGAAAGAATAAAGAAGATTGCTCCGAAATTCTCTTCAGAGTTTATGGAAACTTTGGCTCGGGGAATCATAATTAAATTTACGGCGAGCGAAGGAGAAAAATTTAATGAGCGTAGGAGGACGAAGAGAAGAAAAAAAAAACAATCAAATTTCCCCGCTTCGAATCATAAATACTTAATGCACGAGAAAGTAATTACTCTGTCCGACGAAAGCAAATCAATTCTTGCGCACACTCACCGACTAATTGAAATTTGTTATATAATCCCTATTTCGTTTATAGTTTATATAATCTTTTAGATGTTTTCAAATGATTTGTACAAATCTTGATTGAATTATACAATTTTTTTTTATAAGATAAGCGCCTTCATCTAATCGTCGTTCTTTATGTTGTAGGTTGTAGCCATAGCAACGACGCCGAGCTGCACATTGACGGGTATAAAGGAGCGGGAGGCGCGGCGTCGCACTCAGTTTAGACATTGCGATCGCGCGTATTAGAGCGTGCAGCAGCGGCAGCGGCAACAACGTTGTTGTATTATCAATAGAGAGGATATAGTAGCGGATATAGTATAGACGACATCTTAAGAAGATGGTTTCCGTGACGTTGATGAATCACGGCATAACGCTGACTTGCATCTTGGGTTTGGCCCTCTCGATTTACGCCTTCTTCGTGGAATCCATGGCCGAGCGAGATGATGATTACAGAGCGATGTGCGATCTGTCGGAGCACATGAGCTGCACCAAAGTCTTCAAATCAGAGTAAGAATTACGTTAATATCTGCTACAGCAGTAACTGTTTACGTGTACTTACAAGTGGAGGATAGGAAAAAAAATATTCTTATCTGTCGATGATTCTTATCATAGATTATTAAATATAAAATATTTGCATCATCATTGCCTGACGACTCTTGTTTATAGTCGTATTCAAATTTGTTTGTTTGTTTGTGTATGGATGCGCCGGGTTATCAAGATAAATCCATAAATATGAGTAAATCAATTCGATCTTGGTCTATCGTAACGAGAGAGATAAATTTCATCCTGTAATATTCCGAAGCAAACAAACAGATTTATAATTACAACAGAACGTCGTCATATCTATCGTGTAAATAAATGCAAACAAATATTTTTTTTATCCAAGTTAAGTGCGCTTGCTTGTCACGAACCTGTTTGGATAACAAAATTATGTGATTATAAATGAATTGTTTTGAAAACGTGCATTTCTTTAAGTTAGAAATTAATGGATGCAATTAATGGAAATATTCATGTTTTTGTTGTTTTTTTTCTTTCAGTTATGCTCGAGGATTCGGTATTTTCGGACGACTGTTCGGAAAGGAATCTTTCTTCAATAAACCCAACAGTTTAACGGGGATCTTATCGTACAGTTTGCTGGCGACTTTAGGTAATCTATATAGAAAACTTAATTAACAAATTTAAATAAGTCACTATTTTTTTTTGGTAGCTCAATCCAATTCGCTTCTGATGACTAAAATAAGTTACGCGATGATCGTACTTTCCAATCTGATGTCCGTGTACCTAGCGTACGTCCTCTACTTTATTCTGTACGATCTCTGCGTCGTGTGCGTTTCCATGTACGTGGTGAACTTCTTCAACTGGATCTTCGTCCATTACAAGTACAAAGAACTGAGCCAGACGAGCAGCAACACCAGCCCCAAATTGAAACGCACCTAAAAAAATAACTTGTATTTAATTTTGTTTTTTTTTTAGCCAAAGTTATTCGAACCAAAGTTATATATCTATTCGAAGAATCATTTTGTTTATAATATTATCGTGTGAACAGATTTTGTAACGAATATATTTATTACTGTTGAATTTTCTAAATAATAAACACGTAACGTATATTTATTTTTTGCTAGTCATTCGTTCATATCGATGCAATTCCAAACGCATCGTTAAGCCTCTGACAAAATCAATTGTTTATGTTGTACTTGGCTTGTAGGCAACTTTACGTGCGCGAATGATGCACGTTCAACATAATTTCAATGTGATCTTACATAATTTACCTTTGAATTGCAATTATATATACAGTGGAACCTCGCTTAACAGTGAAACATATTCAAAAATACACATAATATTTGTAGACAAATTTTAAAAATGATGACTTCTCTTCTCTTGATTCTGCTCGTTAAGCGAGGTTGAACTGTATATATTTTTCCATTTCAACTGTTTTTGCAGCACAACTACATGTCAAAGTCACTTCTAAAACGGGTGGAGCGATTATAAAACAATCGATTTCGACATGAGCTCACTCAATTCTATCAACATTTGTAAACTTACATAGATATTCATAAGCAATGTCTTGTGATGAGGATAAAACAAAGGATGGGGATGGACGGAATCGATATTTGCACGCTCCACAAAGTCTAATGAATATATTTAACGGTTGATTAAAGATAGAGATGCTCATTAACGCGCTTCGCAGATGATCGCGTCTCGCCTCGCCTCTTGACAAGAAAGACCTTCGATGATGGTCCAAACCAAAAGAAGGACGAGAAGAGGATGCTGGTAATTGTGGCAATGTGCAGCGAGACTTATTTGCATCCAAATCGAATCGCGTTTGAGAATCTCCCGGAGAAACAAAGAGATTTTCCAATCACGCACCAAAAGGAATTCCCATTCAAATCTCCCCCCAACCTCACTTCATTCACAATGAAACAAATGCATTATTCAGTTGTTCGGATCGCAAGAAAATGCGATTTCATATTTAACAGTTTGATAAAATGCAATTTAAAATTAGAAATAATTTCGTCAAATTAATTAATTTCGATTTCTCATGATCCGTCGCTACGTGCGAACAATGAAGCAAACAATGTAAAGAAGCAGGCGTTAAAAAACAAAAGAAACAAAATTACATTATTCAATCGAAGTGTGCTGTGCGGATTCATTGAATTATTGAATATTTCTACGCACACTGCGATTGCATGAGTCACATTTTTTGTTTTTAATAACTTTTCCCGTTTTATTCACCTTTCGGTTTACTCGTAATTGTTATACATGCAAATTCCATTGAGGGGAAAATAGGAAAAAAAAATAAAATAAATTTAATAACAACGTCGGAAACTTTCTATGTCCGTGCAGCGTGAGTTTACGTTATTTTATGCATTTCAAATGGAAACACAGTAAAAAAAATTATCCGCATCTTACATCATCACCATCGCCTTGCATAACTTATACTTATTGCTAACTAAATGAGCAAATTGAATTTATTAAACTAAAGTTGCAACCAATTGAAGTATTATCAACAAAATTGTGATGTTGTTATGGTTACGAATAATAAAGTTGTTTTCTCAAGTTTTCAATCGAAAGTGTCAAAAATGACAATCCAATTGTTTTTCCTTGGGTAACTAAATGTAATAGATCATCGTGGGTTTTACACATAACCAAAAACGTATACTTAATGATGAATTTAGTTAAAGTGAACTAGCAGGAAGAGAATTGAGATTATATCGTTCGCATCTGTATTAATTCGCGTCTTGTATTAATTAAGATTAGGAAATATGGTCATGGCAAGGTATAATCTGTTGTGTGTAAGAAAGAAAGAAAGAAACAAATCTTGCTCTGCCCATATTTATATGGACCGATTTATGTGCGTTGTCTCCGGACACCTACTAAAGTAGACAAGGTGATCGAGGAGCAGAGAGAGACAAGACGGCCCACACTGCGTCTTCTCACTCGTTCTCACTTTATTTCATGTTGCCTTCCTCTCCTGCTGCCGCCGCCACAGCCTGCTGCCACCTTTTTTATCCCTGTGTGTGTGTGTGTGCCAAACTCGCAAACGACTCGCTCGCGCGCTCGATTTACCTGTCATTTCTTTTGCACACTTCGCACGCGACTCGCGAGTCCTCACCTCTCTCACCTGCAACGAAAAACAAACGCACTGAAAACAAAAGCAAAGAACATTACGCGCGCGCACACGTGACTCACGCACGAACATCTGAAGAAGTAGAAACAAACGAAAAAAAAAATTACTCAGTGCCCTTATTTTTTTCTTAAACTAGGATTATTACCGCACCACCGAACGGATAAACGGATTTGAGGCAACTAGTAAGTAGACTTAATCAACTTTTATGCAACAATTAACAATACATCTTGTGTGAAGTGTTAACTTTTACATTTTCAATCAAGAAAATCTGTGTCATTTGTAGATTAACCTTTTGTTGAGATTGGAAACCGATATGAGATTTGTTAATATTTCCGTTTCCAGCGAGAAACGTAAAACGAATCTAATTACTGCTTCGACCGTTTAGCAGAAATTCCGTGCGCAATCAAGGTTAAATATATACATATATATAAATGTATGTACGCGATTGCTATTTTCATTGTTTAGCAATAATGATCCGCATTTCATCTCTCGAATGCACTACTACTACTACTTATTATTATTAACTTTCGATTTCTGAACGCTCTAAATACTCCATTTCGATGTGCGATTGCGAATTTTCATTGTATTTTCAATTGCTGCACATTTCATCGACGAATGTATCATCAAGATATATCCAAAGATACTTAAATATGTTTGTAGACGAAAGAAATAAATTATCCGCAAACGAGATAAACACAGTTGAAACTCTATTAATTTGCTTGAACATATGGCTCGAACAGTTTTTGGTCGGATCGGCCCACTTGACCAGCGCGCTTTTGCAAACGAAACAACGATGATTGCTGCTAAGCAATTGTTCGTTGCGATGACAACAAGGATAAAACATTGGAGAAGCCATAGGTGACCGAGGACAGACGCAGAGAGAGAGAGAACAACATTTGCATCGGAATCGAGTTTGTTATTGGCGTCGTCATGGAAACGCGTGGGTGTACGTTATTATTTATCGAACATACGCTTTGTTTTTTTTTCATTGAGCAAAATTTGTTTTCCATCGAATATTAATTATTAATAAAGATGAATCAATCGGTGACATTCTTAAAATTTCAAAACAATTCTTAATGGCAATTGGCAAATATTCACTTCTCATAATCTGTTAAAATCAATAACAAAACTCACGACATACTTTAATTATTAATACATATATAATTCCGTATGTAGGTGGTTGTCAGGGGGACTCCGCATTCCAATTGTTTATTATTGTTATTATTTTGTATATGTGACCCGTTGCTATGCTGCATGAACAATGATACAAACAATACCCGCGAGGTGTATGGAAAACAAAAGAAATTTGCATGATTTAATTAAAAAAAAAACAACAACAAAATCAAAACAATTGATTTGCTCGAGCGGAATTTAAGCGCAGCTATTTTGATTTTATAATTATTATTATTATTTTCCATTACCCGCGTAGGTCATGATCAACGTGCTTTCTCTATTCACACTTTTGCGCAAACTCATTTATCGGTCGGTAATGGCTCAATTGCAAACGAGAAACAAACGAAGCGAGAAATAAATAATTGCATTGAAACAGTAATACCTCAATAATTCTATAACGAAAAATCATTGCGGCTTTGATAAATTGAAAAAAAACAAAAACCAACAACAACAAAACAAAAGACAGGTGCGCACATTTGATAATTAACCAATGAAATCATTGCTAATAATAAATCGAAGTGCGCTTTTATGATGTTCTTTAAGAAACACCAAATAGGCTCATAACTTTTCCTTATTTTCCGACCGATGCGTGTGCATCGATGATGATGATGACTGACCTTCGTCCGTGCAAGGCTTAAGTTAAGCACACAAAACGTGCTTGATTCAATCTTTATTTATATCTTTATAAAAAAAAAGACAAACGAAACAAGCGAACAACGCTTTTGCCCTTCCCCAGTACAATTGTGTAGAAGATGACAATGAAACTTGTAATTTGATTTAGGTCAAACGGAAAGTGCGTTTAAATGGAAATTTCTGCAGCAAAATAGAATTTAATTGTATGATGATGATAGAAGATGATTGATTGGAAAGTCGATCAATTTTGATATGAATACGAAAACCTAGCATAAAAGCGTCACAATTATTATTAAACTCATCGTCGCGATGCGAAAGACTTTCTTAGATCGATTTCATTGTCAGTTTCAATTCGGTTAATAATGGAAAACATTGATGAGAAGTAGAAGTAGTTTTTTTCCAAACGTATCTAATTCGAAATAATTAATAAAATTTAATATTAGAAAACAAACATTTCCTTAATCTCAAGCAAATTAGCAACGAAATGGAGATTAAGGTGCTTTAATTAGCGTAGGAAATCGTTGTTAATTAATGAAAAGGAAGCGCACGATGATCTCTAAAGAGGAGGAAACGAGTTAGAGAATTGTTTGTTCCTATTCTCTTAAGAGAACCAGTTTCGCATTTCATGCATTTATTAGTTAAACGTAATTTTCAGTCGCAACTCGAATTCGACCCGAAAAAGGTGTTAAAACTACGTTTTCTAAAGTACAAAAAGAGAAACTATCTAGAATGTAAACAAAAGAAAAAAAACACGTTAGATTTCCTACATTATCGGCATCACATATGTTGTTCCCCTTTATGTAATATTTCTCGCAGATCTCGATGACTAACTTAATGGGCTTCTTATTAATGTATTCGAAGTCAAGGCTGCGTGTATTACTGAAAATGACGTTATTCTGTGTGTTGACTTTGGTCATACATTCCGCGAACGGTGTTGGACGACCAAGTGGAAAACGCGTGCCGACACATGTTAACGTATATGTTTACAGCACGTGATTTTTATATTACTTAAGCATTTCCGGGCGCCGACGTTAATTGCGGACACTTCGACCATTAATTCTATGGAATCGCAAAATATTCACACAGATATGAATCGTAGTAGGCTTAGCTATTATCGATTACTTAAGTAATAAGACCTAGTACTGAACTTTGAACACGAATTACAGCCAAAAGGCTTAAACCACAGTAATATATCGATACTTGCTAGATTCCACAAACATTCAGCTTTCATATGCATCTTTTGGATTCATTCTATGTATTATAGTTTTCGAGAAATTCAATGAAATGTGAAAACACTGCTTTTTCGAGCATTTTTTAAACTTTGAACACGAATTACAGCCAAACAGCTAGAACCACAGTAATATATGAATATTCGCTACATCCCCCAAACATTCAGCTTTTATATGCATCTTTTGGATTCAGTCTATGTATTATAGTTTTCGAGTAAATCAATGAAATAAAAACACTGCTTTTTCGAGCATTTTTTAAAATTTGAACACGAATTACAGCCAAACGGCTTAAACCACAGTAATATATGTATATACGTTACATTCCCCAAACATTCAGCTTTCATATGCATCTTTTGGATTAATAATATGTATTATAGTTTTCGAGAAAATCAATAAAATGTAAAAACACTGCTTTTTCGATCATTTTTTAAACTTTGAACACGAATTACAGCCAAACGGCTAAAACCACAATAATATATCGATACTTGCTAGATTCCCCAAACATTCAGCTTTAATATGCATCTTTTGGATTCATACAGTAAGCGAAAATTCTTCTCTTTTTTTCGTTCGTGTGCATGCACCGAATTGTATTCATTATCAATCTGTTATCTGCGGAAAAGGTTATCTGGAGCAAACAACGTGTTCCTCGTGGTCCACAAAATTGGCAATCTGCCCAAATCCTATTCAATAGAAGCGATTAATTAAATGGTATTATAAAAAAACGAATACCGCTAATTCAACACATGGCATTTACCTAAAACCTGTTGAATCCTTGAATCAAGTTGTTTTTTTGCGCGTGTATAAATTATAGAAAGTATTCCAAAATGAATTCATCTTCTATTATAAGACGTCACACGAAGAGTGAAACTATTAAATTTAAATTAAATTATAATCGTTTCCATTTAAAACTCATTAATTTGGTGTACATTCAGGTTTATGTTTTTGTCAATATTGTTAACCCTTGTTCTTATAAACACAAAATTGATTGTGTTTTTGGAAAGTTCTATTTATTTATGATCCATTTAAACCCAATATTTATTATGACCTATGTTTTGTGACCTATTGACCCGTCGATTCATCGCCTACAGTGTGTGTGCAGCATCCTGAAGAATAGACGACATGTGGTGGTAAAATTGGATGCAGAAGAACTTTCTCGCGTAATGAAATTACCGTTAGCTCGAATCCATCCCACATCTACTAGAGTGATGTATGAAGCCCATTGTTTTTATATGGGTGAAGGCCAGAAGAAGTCCTCCTGGCCTTATTATCGAATTAAAGTCGAATTAGTTCGTGCAGGAAACGCGCGGATTTGTGTTTATTAAAAAAAAGTCTCCTCGGATTTTTTCATCCGTGAATGTTTGAAAAATCGAACGAATTTACTGAAATCCGGTGGATGCTCGAATTACGTTCTTTTCTTCTTTCCATACTTGATTCGATCCAATAAAGGACGGACGTTATGCATTGACGAGAAGAAACGTTTTTTATTTTTTAGAAAGCATTCATAATTGATAGAAACTATATCGTTCGTCACTTTCTTTAATGATAAATCTGTTTAATCAATTAGCAAACGTTCTTAACTTTGCACATAAATCAGTTAATTGATTAACACTAAATAGCTTTAGCAACAAACGTTGAAAGTGATACATTAGTTGACTAATACTATATTACCAATATTACGATCTGTTTTCGTGAGAAATTCTTAAGAATAAAGTCACCTTTTTTTCTGTAGTGACCAATTTCTTGCTTAATTTGATGATACATTTTTAACGAGAAATTCTCAGGCAACTACCTTAAGTGAGCGGACTTTAAACCTTGATTACTATTGCATATATACATCATGAGTAATGAATATTATATGATGTGGACTATTTTTCTCATTTCAATTTCTCTCTCTCTCGTCTCAGGTATTTTTGCATTGTACTAGAGAACTAGTTTCCACGCACGGTGCATGCATGCGTTGTTTGTTGCAAAACATAATAATCCTTGAACAATGAAGCATCTCTGTTGTTTGCGTTTCGTTTGTAATTCGATAAACACAATTGCAGCGAAGACGCAACGTAAAATCTGTTCCGACGTAACATGTGTGTGTGCATTTGATGGAAAATCGATCAATCAACTATTGAATCGCTCGTACAACTGGCACAGTTTCAATTATTTGGTCAACGATAAAGCGAAGTGTAATGTTTGCATAATGAGGATAATTTATATTTTGATGCGTCATTTCGTTTGTAGTCTGCTTCAGATAGGAATTAGAAGAAAGAAATGGAACTTATCTGGTTTACGTGCGCGTTTCAAAATTACGTAAAGATAAGGTTTTACATGTGGACGATGCATTTTTATCATTAACAATTACAGTGAAATATGTACAAAGATTTCTCGTAAATGATTTGACCGCATTTTTATTCTTCTACGTTTAAATGAAATGTCGAGACTTTTTTTTTTAATAAACTGCATTTAATTAACATATTTCATTATAATAAACATAATTATATTGTCACGTATAAAATATTAGACATTTTGCATATTATTATTGCGCCACATCTCAATTACATTATGCAATTATTTATGCTTAATTATATCTATGGCATTTCCAATTTTTTTTGATAATAAAACTTAATTGGAGGCTAAAAAAAAATCATTTTTAACCTTAACCCAAAGATGAAAATACTTGGCCTGATTGCTTAAAATAAGACTGTAGCTTTCTCATATTGTTTCCAAAAACGTTTTAGTTCATACACAACTCTTTTTCTTTTTTTGTTCATAAGAAACAGTACCTTTCTTTTGGATAATCCTAAAGAAAACAACCCTTGTTAAAAGAATGAATTTTACAGAAAAGCGTAGAAGATATATGACCGGAAATATGCTTTCCTTTTGTAATATTTCAAGATAAGATTAAGATCGCAGTCGTCCTGAAAATCCTTCTTACCTGTTCGTTTTTGCTTTTATCTATTTTCAGTCAATTTACCTTGAAAGAAATTGTTGTTGGTAATATATTTTTGTAAATATTATGGATTTTATGTTTACGCAAATTGCTGTGGTCAATAAATCATTTTAATTTGATTCGATGAAATGATTGTTTTTTAATTGTAGTTTTGTTTTTGTGATAATATGAAGTAAGCAAACATAAAAACTTGTATCTGGTTTTGTTGCAAATTAAGAAAGTTCACTTTCTACAAAGCTCTTCTATTTCTCCGTAATTCGCTTCATTAAATCGTCTGTATTAAGATTAAGTTGGTGAATAATGGTGATTGAATTTGAAGTGTCTTTGGATTAGGCTTTTGGTGGGTGTTTCATGAGGGTGGTCGTCTTCGGTTAGGTAAGAGATTAGGAAGGTCCAAATCTTGCAAGAGAGGCTATAGATCTTGACCCCTCCTTACCCAACTCTGTCCACCTCTATTTGTAAATGTGAATGGGCAACAAATGCTTTTTCTGCTGCTCAGTGCGCGACTTTCTTTTGGCTGCAACGGAGGTGTCGCACTTCTACTCCTACTTGTACAAACAACAACAAGCTGTGCATACAGTAGTTACAACTCTCGTGCGTTTCCTTCTATCTAAATTTAGTGAAGTCCGTCTCACAGGCAATTCCGTGTAGATTGAGTGGTAATGAGTGTTTGCCGACGACCATCTAAAATTATCTTCGCGACGCTCCGCAAGGCGCTCGGCGATCGCATCAGCATGCGCCGCAACGGCAGTTCCTTCTCCAAACACTACTGAGTTCAATGTTTTGGTTTTCTGTTATCATAATCGTTCCGACGGAATTGCGGCCACTTGAAGTCATGACATCGGTGCGCGAACTGCTGGTCTCCAGTTTTTTGTGATTTATTATACCCTCCTGACCACAGTGTATCCAAGAAGGAGTTCCGATCATTATTGTTGATTTCTGGACGTTCCAGAGATGCAGTTCACTATTTTGAATTTATTCGCGTAAGTGAAAGTAGGCGCCGGTTACGGTCCTTTGTTTTCTGGTTTAAACACTTTTTGCGCAACGACGTCCACTTCTTTGTCGACTTGAGTAAATTTCGGTTGTTTTGTAACTGCAGTCATGGTATTACACACAAACACATTAGAATAACTTCATTTACCAATTAACCATTGTTATTGTTATTTTATTGTTTTTCTTTCTTGTTAGATCCAAAATATGATTTTTTTTTAATTTCATATCTAGTTTTTAATTTTCCTCAAATTCAATAAAACTTTCTTTTATAAAAATTGAAATTTCCGTCAATTACGCAAATTTCTTTACATAATCAAATCTAATCAGTATTTTGATTCATTTGAATCTAATATAAAAAAAAACCTCCTGTTTTCCTGCTAATTATTAAGGCTGAACTGCGGTTGCAAATCCATGCCTGTTTTTTTTATCTTTACGCTAAAACGTAAATATGATTTTTTTTTAAATTTCACATCAATTATTAATTTTCCTCAAATTCAATAAAACTTTCTTTTATAAAATTGAATTTTCCGTCAATTACGCAAATTTCTTTACATAATCAAATTTAATCCGTATTTTGATTCATTTGAATGTAATATAAAAAAAAACCTCCTGTTTTCCTGCTAATTATTAAGGCTGAGATGCGGTTGCAAATCCAAGCTTTTTTTTTATCTTTACGCTAAAACGTAAATATGATTTTTTTAAATTTCACATCAATTTTTAATTTTCCTCAAATTCAATAAAACTTTCTTTTATAAAAAATGAAATTTCCGTCAATTACGCAAATTTCTTTATATAATCAAATCTAATCAGTATTTTGATTCATTTGAATGTAATATAAAAAAAAACCTCCTGTTTTCCTGCTAATTATTAAGGCTGAACTGCGGTTGCAAATCCAAGCTTTTTTTTTATCTTTACGCTAAAACGTAAATATGTTTTTTTTTAAATTTCACATCAATTATTAATTTTCCTCAAATTCAATAAAACTTACTTTTATAAAAATTGAATTTTCCGTCAATTACGCAAATTTCTTTACATAATCAAATCTAATCAGTATTTTGATTCATTTGAATCTGATATAAAAAAAAACCTGTTTTCCTGCTAATTATTAAGGCTGAACTGCGGTTGCAAATCCAAGCTTTTTTATCTTTACGCTAAAACGTAAATATGTTTTTTTTAAATTTCACATCAAGTTTTTCATTTTCCTCAAATTCAATAAAACTTTCTTTTATAAAAATTGAATTTTCCGTCAATTACGCAAATTTCTTTACATAATCAAATCTAATCAGTATTTTGATTCATTTGAATTTAATATAAAAAAAAAAACCTGTTTTCCTGCTAATTATTAAGGCTGAACTGCGGTTGCAAATCCATGCCTGTTTTTTTATCTTTACGCTAAAACGTAGAGATAATAGTATAATGATGAAATTATTATATGAAACAAGTAAATATTTCTATTTCATTCTCATATTTGTGCAATTCGTTTCAATTTTTCTACAAACAAAAAAAAACGAAAGCATAAATTAAAATTATTTATTTGTTACTGATAAAGATACACGTGGATTTAGTAATGAACATGAGTCATGGCTAAGTTACTAATTGTGACATAATCTGCATAATTTGCTTCTTCGTTTGATGATTTCAATCGAATTAAAGGAATTAACATTTCTTGGATATATTTAAATATTACTTTAGATTTAATAATCAATTTGTGTTCAATTTCGCTTTAGAAATTAAATCTAATCAGTATTTACTTTGATTCATTAGAATCTATTGGGAAAACCGCTTATTTCCCTCCTGTTGACGTTAAAGGCTGAACTGTGGTTGCAAATACTTGCCTTCTTTATCATTGCACCAAGAAATGTAGAGATAGTTTAACGAATGATTATAAAAAAACAAGCGAACATTGTTATTATTTCATGTGGTTTTAACAAATCTTTATGTGAAACAAACAAATTATTTGCATTTCATTTAAATTTTCTATAAAAAAAAACCGACTGCATTAGTTAATGATAAGGTAAAGATAAATGTAGATAATTTAGTTGAAAACATGAGTCACGGCAAATTTCGCATGACTTTTGCGATTTCACATATATATGGGGGCGGATAATCCGTTTGTTTCGTTTGATGATTTTAATAGAATTATCAGAATAAAACGAAACGAAACTGTAAATACGCTAATGAATCAGCTTGTTACACACGCAGGGTCGGTTTCTTCCATTCCTCATCTTCGCGTTTGTCGAAGGACTTTTGAAATCTTTCCAATTACAAGAATAGAATTGCCATGGAGAAACACGTCGCCGCCTCTGATATGAAAACTTTGGACGTTTGAAGGTCTCCGCAAATACAATTGTTGTTTCTGTTCTCTTAATAGTGATAGACTTGCACGATTCCTTCGCTCCTTGGATGACCAAGCCCAGGAGAGTCATCAAAACCCGGATTTAGTTAATCTTTTAGTAATATTGAACAAAGAAAAGATAGCGATTTGTTTGCAATGGAAATTACACTTAAACCCGCGAAATAAGTTTGATTTCAATTGTCGCAACTAATAGTTTGTAGAAATACAAACTATTTGATAAAGTTCATATTTTTTTTTATTGCGTTTCAACACGATGGTTTTCCTATTCATTATTTATAAGTATGGATCGCAATCAATAATTCGATTCTTGGATTAATCATGCAGTTATGCACGTCATCTTCTATCAATCAATAATAACAAAACTGTTTTCATTGATATTAACCAAACTTTGATAGAAAGCAGAACCAAAACATCAGAATTTTTAAGTGTATTTATAGCCTAATTCATTAATTCACTTTATAAATGCTCTTGTAACATAAAACGTAATTTTGTAAAGTAAACATTGCGTAAATGTTTTTGTGTTTTGTTTCGGTTAGCTGTTGTTTTGTTTTTTTCCCTACTGCAGACATTAAAAATGCGAGGAAGCTATGGTTTCGGATTTCACTTTTTTTCCTGAATAGTTTCTTTCTTTCTAATTGTGCGTCGCCGTTTGCGTTACGTCGCAAAACTTTCGGTTTCATATTCGTCGCCTTTCGGAAGGTTAATAATAATAATCTTCATCCTTGTTTCATTATGTTTTTTTTTCTGTCGTTCTAAGCAGGAAACGCTGCATAATAAATAAATTACGTTCTGCAGTCTTATAAATATGTATTTTCTTGTTTAATTATCGATTTCTTTGTGATCTTTGACTTTTCCATTAAGAGGGGAAAAAAAAAAATTGCGAACGAAAGTTGTTGTCTAATCCAGTCGTTACGCAAGTTTCTTAATCGTAATTCCTGATTGATATTGGCTTTCCGTCGGATATAATTGAGCGAATTAAAGCAATTTCATTTGCGCAATTATCGTATGCAGATAAGAAATAGTTTTAGATTTTTTTAAATAAGTTTACGATCAAATTAATTGGATTTTGTTTATTCAAACTGTACGGATAATTAATTAAAAGAGTTGCAATTATTTGAATTTAAAAAAACATATTATATTTACGTTGAATCGATAGATGATAAATCATTCTTGTAGCTTGAATTCAAACTGAAGTTATCGCTTCGCGCAACTATGAACTCTGAACTCGGGCAATTATAATAAGACCGCATAACTATCTCCATATTCATACTTATTTTTTTACATTTCAAGTTTGTTTTCCTCCCGAGATAAACGTCCTTTAAACAAGCAGCGATTGCGTAAATCTGAAATAACCTCACTCATTTTTTACTTAATCTAAATCTATATAAAACAATAAATAATCATCTTTCCTTCAATTCGAAATGATAATTGCATAATAAATGGATTTTAACAAAGTGTATTATTAAATATTGTATGAATAATCAAAGTTCCTTGAAGCGAATCACCGTTTCGTTTATTTTTAATTTTTAAAGAAAGTCACCGTTTACAGATTCTGCTCCTTTGTGCGCTACAATGGGTATTTTTGCAGAACTCCTCGCGATTGAAAAGTCAAGGATTCGCTTCTGTTGTATTGCAGCGGGTGAAGTCTTAGCGAATTGAATGGAAATAAAGAAATACGTCTCGTCGATTAAATCGCGAAAGGTTTATGTTTATGCCGATTGAAAAAATGGATGTTTTAGATACGCTATCATCGATTTATGCGGCCGATTTCTAACGATATCGAACATTATCTTACATTCTGATTGTATTTATGATGATTTTAGTTGTACGCGTCCAGCTTTATGCAGCCTTTAATCCAATTTACTTAATTAATTATGTTTTTCAATTCGTTTTTAATCAAAACTATATATCGCATAGATATTGCGAGGTATCAAAATTGTGTTTTGTTTGTTTGATTTGTGTTGTAGTTGAGACTAATGTTTACCTTTGTTTTCGGTTATTACAGCTTGGGCGGAATGGATAGTCTGCATGTTTCGGGTCAGCAACAGCAAGTTAACAGTAAAACTTCTAGCAGAAGTACGTCGCCTTGCAGACGCGGAGGAGAGACCCATCATCATCATATCCACTCCACCCCCCAGCCGCACCACAACAAATCCCTCAGCCACGGATCACAGGATAGCAATAAGGTATCATCACATTTCTCTACCAATATTTTAGTCATTAGCTACACAAATTCACTGTAATTTAATAGTTTGTTTATTCAATGACCTAGTTGTAGTTCGATAGAAAGGTAGATCTTTACAATTGATTTTAATCCTATTTATTTATTAAGCTTCTTCACTGGAGGCTGTATGAAAGTTTAATGTAAAATCCACCGAGAAAACTTGTTTTGGCTTTGATACAACTATAGTCTATTATACCACGAAATTTATGCGTTTACGTCACGAAATTTTCAGTGACAATTTCCACTAAAAATACTAAACGATATATTATTTCGAATACTTTCGATCTTCCATGAAACCGAAAATTGTTTCACAATTCGCAAAAAACTTTTTGGCCCGTAGTTTCTTGCTTCAACGCAAATTAGTCAACTTCGTAAGAAGAAAAATAATAATAACGAAATGATGATGATGTTTTGGCATACTTTTTATTGTATTTTTAATACATATTTCATTTACTATATAAACTACAAAAGTATAATAATTAGCAAAGTGTGCCATTAGAAGCACGCGCGTTCTTTTCTTTTCTTCTGCGTTTCTAATTTTTGCACTTAAAGTACCGAACGGAGACGCATCTGTTGCGTTTCTTAACTACATTTAATCATCATAAACTAGATCTGAAATTAGTTATGAAAATCTTCTGCAGCGATTAGTTCGCGTTTTTCTTTAGCAGCTGTGATTTTTGGCACAGCATCCCCAATTTTGATTGGTGTTATTGATTTCTGCAGTATTAATGTATGCTTTGCACGGAGTACGTGCTTGCAATTAAAGCAATTCTGTGTTTCTCTCGTTTTATCTGAGAGCTTTGGAACTCTCAACGTTCAATGTGCCAACTTGGCCGACCCGGTAATTGTTGTTTGCAATTGCTGAACTGCTTTTCCTCTGCACTCGTCCATCTGTTTATTTCTATCACACGGAACGTCCTCACACAATTCAATTACATTTTTTCCGCCCTCGTGTTTTTATTCAATTACTGCATCAATAATTGAAAATTTAAATCGAATTCCAATTTTATCTTGTTTGTTCGAACCTAAGCCGCACTATTTATCATTGAAATCCTATTTCTCTCTCTCTTTCTCTCTGTCACATGTGCTTTGCAAATTGCACGGAGCGAGAATATGTTCGGGTTTAAACCGGATTCTTGAATCGTGTCAATTCTTAGTCCCTTCCATTCAGTCCAGGCACGATTTGCCTCAAAACTTCGTGGGAAATGTAAAGAAAACTTTTGCAGGTATAACTCAATATTTGGAAAGCACGTTTCCACAAGTTTATCAAGTGTAAACGAGAAATAAGGAAATTGCAGATTTAAAAATAAATAAATTTGAAATTTACACTAAAATTAACATCCTTGTATGTTATTTTATTTTTGATTATGCAACGAGATTCCCTTGGCCAAAGAAAAGCGTATTTATACCGCGTCCATAAATAACGTTTCAACAATTGCCACAACTAGTGGTTGTTTCGGTTTGCCGAAATTTTATGTAACTGTTGCGAAGTTTTATTTTTATTTTTATAAAAAAACCGACCAATTTATGAAAATGCAGGCTGTCGTCTTTTTTTGTTGTTTTGCTATGTTGTGTTACGCAATTAAATTCTTTACTCTTCTCTTTTTTTTATTTATATCATTAGGCAATTATTTTGCTTACGTGTGGTCCAAATAAAAAGTTATTTATACGATGGACCACTATAAATATGCTTTGGACAATTGGTACGACTAGACGACGGGCCTTGGTGCATTGATAAAACCGTTTTCTTTGTAATCAATTGTACTGAAATGCATTGACAATGTCCTTGATGTTAACCAATTGCTTAGAAACAACGTGTAATTGATTTGCAATTTGTCATAGATTCATTTAAACTCTACCAATAATCAACAAGTAATAAGAAATAATGTATATAAACTAAGTTTGTTGCGTTTAAAAGTTTTTGAAGAATTGATGGAAATACGTTTTTCATTTGTGAGAAATGCTGGATCAATGGGACTAATAATAAAAGTTGTTTCATATTGTGTTTCTGCATGAAACAACTTTTCTCATCACGTTGCAACGTTATTAATATTTGTGTTTGCTCATTGCAAATCCATGTTTCATCTAAGCTAATTTCTCTCTGTACATTGACTTTATCGCAGATTGTGTTTTATGTTTCTTTCGGCAAAGAAAAACATATTATTTAGCATGATGAAACGCTGTTGTTATTAATTACTGATAAACACGGGTCGTTCAACTTGCTTTATTACTGCGTTTTAGAATCCTCGCAACAGAAGCATATTTCTCTTAATATGAATATCAATTTAGATAAATCGTGTTATTTATTGGATTTGGTCTACAGTTTGTGCACTTTCGCTAAATTATTTTCTATTCTCTTTTTGTTCGCGGCTTGCCCTAAATGTGCGTGGCACTCTCGTATTCAACGCAACAGTTATCTAATCGCACGGAATTGGATCACAAGGATATTTAAATATTCTTTTGACCCCTTCTTTCCGCTTATCGTGTATCTATATAAAACACGTTTCATATATTGGTAAACACTTTTCTCTCATAGTTCGTATATTTCATATCGCGTAGATTTGTCATCCAAATCGATGATTCAAATGGGAGAACCACAATTTTTATCAATCAGGTGATGAACGTAAATATTTGAAGCTAATGCAGTTGATGTTTCACAAAGAAAGAGTAAAAAGAATAGTGGTTTTGCGAATAGTCTCTGGAGTGACTATTATTTGAGTTTGAAGTAGGTAGTTTTTTTTTTATTTATTGCGGGTCAGGTAGTTTAAGAATGTTTAAGATCCTCGAACGTTTCTGGAGAAACGGAAAAACTCGAGGCTTGAATAAACAAGTACCTTTGTCTGCTCGTGAAAAGGAAACGGTATAGTTTTATGGCCGTTTTGGCGCCGGATTGTAAGCAAAAATGGTTAAAGTTAAAAAGGTGTTTCATTATTTTTTCAGTATCTTTAAATCAATATTTAGTATCTTAAGGTTTAAGACTTAGACGAATGCAAATAGCTGTATGGAAAGTAGTTAGGAAGTGTAGTAAAATTAATTGTTGGATTTCTTTTCAGTACTTTGTTTCCGCGGAAATGATTTTCCGTTTTAACTAGCAGAGATCGCTGCGAATACAGTGATTTCCGAGTATCTATATGATAAGAAGCCTTCTAGTTAAGGTTTGGGAATTATTAGATGATCGTAGAGTTTGTGTAATCTAGTCTCAAGTTTTCTCTTTTGAACGTGGAGATTGCTGATTTAATTAGTGCTTTTTTTTTAGTGGATGGAATTTCGTTTGGCTTTTAGCGTTTTTTTCATTAGCGCCTGCAGCATTTTCTAGTTCAAGTTGAGTTCGTGACTATTTTCTAAAATGTATTCCCGCGCGTCACGTCGAAGATGATAATGGCATCTGTTGCAAAATGTTGTTTGAAAGGAATTGGCTTGATGGTGTATCGATCGGCATTGTTAATTACGAGTGTTTTGTTGCACCATCGAAATCTGCGGGTAAACTTTGTGCGGATTCGAATGCTAAATTAAATACTAAAATTGGTATAAATTTTAGTCGATAAACTTGGATATTGGTGGTAAATCGTGGCCTCTGTTGACATTACAATGAGCGTTGAAAATATTTACACGACTCGGCTGAAAACTGAAGCGATATTTTCAGGCGATACTTGCTTCTGGAAATAGCATCATCCGCGATATCGCGCGTGCCTACTTAAACATAATAATAACACTCTGCTTGTGTTTTACACTGCCGGCGATAAGATAAAGCTCACTTTCTGCGCCTTCAATTACCAATCGTCAGTCGCAGTAAAAGCAACGTTTCCATGATTCCACACAATAGAAATACTTTGTTCTTGAAAATAGTTTATGCTTAAAGTCCAATTTACTTTGAAACACTGATTAAATAATGTACTGAAACGATCGTTTTTACACATATGTATAACATTTTTTGTGGTCAATTGAAATTTCAGATGTGTACAGAATTAACTTATTTTCATTTCAATGACAAATTTGGGTAAATCATATATCTGGAATGAATGTAATCTAAATAAAGCAATAGATTATTGAACTCTTTCATTATTACATTATTTTTTTTTACTTTCGTTCGAGCGATTTGTATAATGTTTAATATTTTAATACCTTTTTGTTTTCTATATTAACTCCAAAGTTGTTTTCCTCTTTTTTGTTTTATTATTATTCCAATCATCATTAAGGCAACTCGTTTTTATTCTTCGTTTTTATTATCCAATTGCGGTAAAGTAGATTTCAGTTAATGGTTCTCGCCGTATTCTAATCCATAAACCGCAATTCCACGGGGTATTAACGTGGCTTATCACAAAGGTAGATGTAGAGAAGAAGAAAAAAATCGAAGGAATGAAAGGACGTGCGCGGATGCTTTTCATTTTCATTTGGTTGTGCAAAGAGATAGAGAAAGATATGTATACAGCGGTTATTGTGTTTTAAATAAATAATGGCGCGGTTTTTCGAGTGGCCGGTTGTATCAATTCACAGGTGAAATAATGATGAGGTGATGCGACCTTGGGGTCCTTTTTCCGCTGGCGCACGTTCCTTGAAAAAGGAAGCGTCGTCTTCGTTCACCAGTCGCGTGCAAAGCGTGCTCAGGATGTGATCGGAATACACTGCAAGAGCAGGACGAAAGAGTGAATGGAATCTCTTACACTCGGACATGTCCAAGCTGGATTTTATGAGATTAGCTCTGGTAATGCAAAATAATTCTACTATTTTTGTAATTTTTTTCGGTAGCCTCCAAAGTTTATTAATCCATACCATTGCGGAAATTCACCAACTTTTATACTGCCTCCCCCTCACTTCCATCATCTCAGTCGATTCGTTTTAATGGAATTTTTAAACTCGTGCACTTTTGCATTTAGAGCGGATTTTCATCTCTAACCGCAAATTATAAATTTCGAATCACTGTAGTCTTGAATCCTTGCAAAAACCCAAAGATCATTATTTTAGTTTTCTCAAATTTATCTACACAATTAATAGATTCTCATTCTCATTTTTATTGCAAACTTCTTCATGTTTCCAACAAAAGAATGTTTAAAGTTTTTCAATTGAATTTATGATATCAATTATTTTTTTTGTGCTTAATATTGAATAAGCTTTTGCTCGTTGAAAAATTGATCGTTCCATACAAAGATTTAATCAACGCGTTGAGCCTTTTGCAGCTCGCAGACTTTGATCTCCGCACGTGCAGCGCCAATCAAATATTTAGAGCTGAAATCGATTGCATGAATCGCGTTTGTTTTATCATCAACATATTATTTTTTCGTATTATCAAATATTTCTGATACGGATCGATGTATATTACTTTATTATTATGATTATATATATGTTTTGCAATTCCGCGAATTCTCGTTGCGTAAATTATGTATGCGTGCGTTGCGCAACGGATTCGAGAGAGAGAGTATATTTTTTGTTTTTGGGATCTATTATGGATCAAATGTTTACATAGATCGGATGGGAAAATAATGGTCGTGTTTATGGACGAAATACGTTGCCGCTTCCAAACTAATAAAATAACTGCAACAACATAAATCAGAACTTAACGGATAACGAGTTTTTGGTTTCTTTTTAAGCGGTCGAAGTGAGAATTGATCGCTGTTTCGTAATGTTATTATAATGTAATGTTTGTAGGCGGAGAGGATTTTATAAACTTTAATTATTCAATAAATCCAATTACATGCGATAATTGTAAAATTATCCAAAGGAATTTAATTTTGCTGCACGAAAGGACATTAATTACAAATTTGTATCAAATTCAAAATTTATCAAGACTTATTCAATTTGTTTCTTATTAGATTTGTCAATGTATTATAGCAAAAAAAAAAAGCTTGTTTATTGTATGTGTCATGATGAAGAAGGAAGAGATTGTATCGTTTCGGTGCGGATCCTGCTAATTTCTCGTGTTTGCTTCTATCGTTCTTTTGTGTTGCGACTCCTGCTGGAAGGAAACGCTTTTGTTTGAAGTTCGAAATTCCGAGTTCCGACTCCTTTGATGCACGGCTTTAATTACGTCCACTTGTTAGTTGAGCCCAAGTATTGTGGCATACACACATAGCGTGCGTCGCGCCAAAAAGCAAAAAACAAACTAAATGTGGGAAATAAAAGCGTAGCTTGAATTCGAAAAATTTACATTCGCTGCCAAAAGAATCGCGTTCGAAGTGAACGGTCTATAAACCCGGGGGAATATTTTCATTCCTCTGCAAATTCCCTTACGAATTTCCTCCACTCTCTTTTTTTATTTCTTTTTCATTGCATCTTTCTTTGTACGATTTTGTTAAATCTTGCAACAAAAAACTAGAAAAATCGATTATGTAATTTTGTGCTGTTGTTTACGTTTGGCACATAAATAAACAATGGAATGCAACGTACGTGGATGCATTGCCTCTCGTCATCGTCGCGCTCGTGTTTGTACTATGTTGAATTAACAAGAGTTTATTTCAGAGCTGCCGCGCAAAACGGAAGCGAGTGTCGCGTTTATTTTTACACGCTCTACGCGGAAAGGATCAATCTGTATCCTATCTGAGCATACATTGCGACTACTATCTGCTCTAAAGTCCCAAAATAGTGGTGCCTCTGCACCCACAACAACAAATTCAATATGATTGCTAAGCAATCTTTATTAGTTTAAAATGTATTTTAAAGTTGTAAATTCTTGATATATTTATAGTATAAATTTCAATTGTTAACTGATTTCTTGATTGGTTTAATGTAATGTAAAGAAATGTTATAAGAGGTAAATAAAGAGAATTATCGTAAAACTGATATTATATAAAGTGATTGGGTTTTAATACGTTCAATGGTGATTTTCGCTTTCTAGTTGGATTGGCGCTGAAAAAGAGAATTTGCGTATGCAATTTCCAGCTTGATTCGGTCGCCATTTGCGTTTTCCATTTAGTTTTATATCATTGCAATCATGCTTCAATTAATAATTAGATGGTTGTGTGCGTAGAATATGTGGAAGAGAGTAAGAGAGAGATTGTTTGGCATGGAGTAGAAAGAGGAGTAGCAGTAGTAGTAGCAGCTTAGTCATTGAAATTAATCTTGTTTGTTGTAGTCTGATGGCGTAGGTTACACGACGACGCACCACCGTTCGCACCAGAGACACAAATCACCGACAGCCCCAGCAGACTCCATCGCAATGGACGAGTGTCCCATCCTGGACGAGACAGGACCATCGGAAGCCGAGGTCCTGGACCCGTGCTACCCTTCCTCCTTCATCTCGAACGGCAGCTCGGAGCACGTGAAGCCCGAAGATGAGACGGACGCTGCCGGCAACACCAGGATCACAGCCACCATCGAGCATCTTGCGAACAAGATCATCCGCGTCAAGGATCTGATCCGGACGGAGCAGAAGCTGCGCGACGACAACGTGAACGAGTATCTGAAGTTGGCCGCGAACGCGGACAAGCACCAGGTGCAACGCATCAAGGCGGTGTTCGAGAAGAAGAACCAGAAGAGCGCGCACAACATCTCGCAGCTGCAGAAGAAGCTGGACACGTACCAGAAGCGCGTGCACGATCTCGAGACGCACGGCGTTGTGCAGAGCCATCGGCCTCCTCGGGAGGTCCTCAGAGACATGGGACAAGGACTCAAGTATGTTGTTATCGCGATTGCGCATCTTCTATATCTTATCTCTTATTATTTGTTTTGTAGGAACGTTGGCGGTAATATACGCGATGGTATCACGGGATTCAGCGGTTCTGTCATGTCGAAGCCCAGGGAGTTCGCTCATCTGATCAAAAACAAATTCGGCAGCGCCGATAACATCAGCCAACTTTCAAGTAAGTGCTTCTCTCTCTCTCCGTCTCCTCCCTCATCGACCCAAATCCAACCTGACTTAACCACTAAGTGTTTGTCTCTGTTGTTTTTCTTCTGTCCTTTGGTGTCTGGATTAATTGTTCTTGGTGTTTCCCGTAGTCATAGCTATCGAAATCGAAGGTAGATCGATACTTCATTTCGGCACATAATAATAATTATATTATTATTACTTAAAATCTAAATAATAATAATAATAACACATTGCTTTATCGAATTAATGTTGTTATATTAATATAAATAGATAGATTATTGTTTATTTAGAAGACGAACATCGAGTCGCATGTTATTGGGCTTGCAAAGCGCAGCGCACACACTGATTTTGTTTTCTCTTTTTGGTTTTCTCTTATTGTTTTGAATTTTAAATTTCGCTGGAAAAACGCTGAAATCATTAACCATTAACATTTATACATTATATTAAATGGGTGTTTACAAAGCTTTAATTTCAATAATATATAAATTATTATGTTCGATGTGTTTTCTTCATAAAAACCAGTTGAACTTTGTAAACATTTCTTGGATATATTTGTTGTTTTATTGTTGTCTTTGGTTGTGGAAAAATTTCATTAATTTTTTTTTTGTAAATTTTTGAAAACAAACTTTTATATCAATCATAATAATTTCCTTTGGGGGAAGTGTGCTGAATAATCACGCTACATAACATGCACTTGGTACATGGCATGGCCCCGCACCTCACTGTAACATCTTGATTAACATCCGTAGCGTGGTACATAGGGCCAGGAACGACTGGATCGGAGGGAAGCGGAACAAACGGTGGAGCTGGAAGCGATCAGGGTGAGAAAGTTCATCATGGTTCTGCGACGCTACCAGCAACTTTGCACGCGGCCACGTCGAACGTGTCGATGGGTGGACAGCAACCCCAGAAGTTCCCCAGCGAAGAAGGAAGCGAGTGCAGCAGCGTTACGAGCGAGAGCATGGATAGGTAAATAAAGTTCTCTTATTGATCACGAGATGAATAACGATGATTTTATTGATTAGGTATAGAGGCAGGAGTCAGGAAGGAACATCCACGCACGAGGTGCAGTACAACTCGATGTTCAAGCAACTGCAGACGACGCAGGAGGAATTACAAATACTCAGGAAAAAGTTCGATGGCGCCATCACGCTCAGGCAGGACGTTCAATTCCTCAGTTCGGCGTTGCAGGAGGAGCGGTTTAAGACGGAGCGGTTAGAAGAGCAAATAAACGATTTGACTGAGCTGCACCAGAACGAGGTGGAGAATCTGAAGCAGGCGATGGCCGACATGGAGGAGAAAGTGCAATACCAGAGCGAGGAAAGGTTGCGGGACATACACGAGATTCTAGAACATTGCCAAACTAAGGTAAGCGATTAACCCATTTTTTTGTTTATTAAAATGATGCTGATTTTAAATAAATTGCAGATACAAAAGATGGAGCATCAAGCACTGCAGCAGCAGCAGTACGTCACGTTGGAGGGATTGGACAACTCGAACGCTCGAGCCTTCGCCGTCAAACTGATCAACGTTTTGCTCACGGTCCTGCAGGTGATCCTCCTGCTGGTCGCGACCTGCGCCGGCATCATAATGCCTTTCCTCAGAACCAGGTAATTTTATTGCTGCTGATTAGTTGAGCTGCAGAGCACAGCATCGCTTCGGGCAAAACTTTTGAATTAATTGAAAAGCAAGAAAGGCTAGTTTTTCTTTCAAATTAGTTAATAGTGTTGTTGCAATTGAGCGTCGTATTCCATTATGTTCATCACCTCACTTTGTTTTGTTTTCCTTTTAATTCATGATTTTCGTTAATTTCTGTTTATTTGACGTTGCTAGGGATAGCTATAGGACGGTTACGGTAACTGAGGTGGTGCAGGCGACCAGAGAGAAAATATCTCTTGGCACATCTCGCTCATCCATTTTAACAAGGACATTTTCGAAAACGTGACACACGGTAACATTCTTTTTTATTTATTTATTTATTTAGTTATTATTACTTTTACTGGTCTACGTACACACTAATTCTCAATTGCAACACTACTATCACTAACAAATTATCCAATCCACAATGAATTAACAAAGGAAATTGTGTTAACATGTTAAAATGAATACCAAAAAAAAACAGTAACTAACGTTTGATTCAAGAATTGTATTCTAATTTTTCCAATTAATTTTCTATTTAAGCAAGAAAAATACATTTGTAAATATTTTGATTCAGTTTTAAATGATCTACAAAATGGCTTTTTTTAAAGCGCGTTCCGCTAGATGGCGCCACGATATATATCCATTATGCTTCTAATATTCCCTATGCCTTAATGATGAGAATGTTACATGAAACATAGTTATTATGTATAATTTGGTGCAGTTTGTAATGAATGCGATTTTATTGTTGCAGAGTGAGGATTTTAACAACGTTGGGAATAGTATTGTTAGGTATATTCGTTTTGCGGCAGTGGCCCGAAGTCCAGGACATCGGTTCGCACGTGATGAAGAGGTTGAAGGACATGCTGGACCCCGTCAAATAGCATTTAGCCAACCCCTTCAGACAATGAACAATCTATCTCTCTCTAGCTCTTATACTTCTTGTATTCTACATATAGGACGCAAACTCTCTCGCTCTCTCTTTCTCTATATATATATTTATAAATATCCTACTTATATATTCGACACAAAAAAAGCAAGAGACAACTACTACAACAACAATTACAAAAAGAAAACAAACAATTAGAGAATATGCATAAAAATAATTATGATTTTGACAATGAGTATAGAAATTTTTACAAATAATTTATTACGTCGTGCGATTTCATATCTATATATATATAGATATGTCTTTATATATATGCATATGTAAACTGTATATATGATTTTTGTACTTGATTTATGAAGTCTGGTGATGATTGATCGTGTATATTATTTAAGTTCATTTTATAATTATTATTTTGTGATTTTAGTTGAATGCGATTATTACGTGGATTATTGTAATGTTAATAACGATGTGTAGTGTTTAGGAAAGGAAAGGGACGTGTCTTTCCGTAACCGAAAGAGCGGAAATTGTGTGAAAAGAAAGAAGGGGGTTGAAATAAAAAACAAAACTGTTTTCCCTTTGGGAGGTGGCAGAAAACGTTTGGCCTAAGACGGAATGGAGGATGATTCCTATAATTTAATAATTAATTAGAAAAAAAATGAAAAATTATGTAAGCGTGATATGATGTTGAGGAAACAAATTGAAACGACGAACGAACGTGAAACGGGCAAAGGATGAGGAGATTGCATGTGAATTGTGAAGAAGGTATCCTTTTTCTTTAGTTTTATATATCACATATACACAAACATGCATATATTTAACTTTGTTCCGTTTTTTATTTAATTTATTTTTGTTTTGCGACGATATTTATGTGCGTTTCAAATGACTGTAAATAAAACTGTTTCTTTATTATTTTATTATTATTTTTTTTTGTTTTGTTTGTTTGTTTATCGTATTGTGTAAGACACGCGCAGCGCATTGTTTTTATGTTTTTTGTGTCGTGATTCGCGCGTCGAACAAGACAGAAATAATGTGCATGTGAATTATATAATATACATGAAGCATCAAAAAAAGAAATGATAACAATAAGAGAAAAATAATTTTGAGAATATTAGTTTTTGTTTTTTTAATCTTTAATTTTCTTTTTGTTTTTATATTAACTCACCTTTCAGTTTATTTCCTTCATTTAATTTCAATATTTTCATCATTGACAAATGTTATAGTTAAGGCAAGATTTGTGTACCAAAACAAGTTTTGTTTCGAAAAACACTTGAAATATGTGGCTTATTTTGCAAAATATTCCGTGTGTTTACGTTGAAATTTTATCTTATCTCAGAGATTAAGAAGTATTTCAGTTTCAAGATCGACATTTCGTAAACAAATCTTGCCTGTTCTTGCAACAAAATAATCTCACTCTTACTTCGTATAAAACTGTTTTAGTAATGTGTTCACTATTGCCAAATTCATTAAATGAACTTTTTGACCACTTCTATAGCATTCGCATAATCACCAACAACAACAACAACAAAAGACTGCAGCTGTTGATAATTTCTTGCAAGAAAAATTGCGAAGGAAACGTTCTTAGCAGAAGCTTTGTTTTACACCAGAAAACGTATTCGCTCGAATCTTGAGGTTGTATTAAGATCGCGCGGATTGAACTAATGAATCAAATTTTGACCAAAATAAAATTAATTATTTTTTACAACAACAACAAAAAAAAAGTATATGTACTAATTGTAATCGAGTAAACTTAAGCGTTCGAGTCAATTAATTTCGTGAACCAAATTCACCGAGAAGATGCTGTGTTTCTCCACTATTTTCACACTTATCTAATCTCTCTCTCTGTGTTATTCCTTCTCGCGTTTCAGCATTGATTTCGCATCTACCGTGATCGGAACGAGCGTAGTGTTCAAACTGTTGTTAGTATTAAGAACGAGTTTAGTGATTCAGCCTAGAGACGTAGATTAATGTAAGATTTAGTGGTAATTAAGGGAGTAAAGAAGGAATCGTTAGACACCATCCATCCATTTTTACTGTTCGCGTACGTTTGATTTTTTCATTTTCTAGATATTTTACATTAGGAGGAAATCCGTCGGGGTTTTCGATAGAACGTAGATGAAAAAAAGACTTGAGCTCTCTTTATAAGAGAGAAATTAATTTATTGTAACTCGTTTTTATTTTCCGATTGATGGAAGTTAATTTCTATGAGTCGCACACAAAGATGAACGATTTTCGGTTTTCACAGACCATAGAAATTGTTCGGTCGTGGTATTAGAGAATATTACTGCGTTTTATTATGTTATTTGTAAGATTCTATTTTATTTTTTTTGTCTGTCTGTGTGTGTACATCAAACGCTTGGTTGTGAAGCTTCGATTTAGATGAATGAAACAAGAAACGCCATCACGAATGAAAATACATAGGTTTTTTTTTGTGTGTATTATTCTTTCTTGAATTATTTACATGTTAGACGAAGATATGTACATTTTAATATATTATTAAGATAATAAAATTGGTTTGTTATTTGTTCCGATGTTATTTATTTACCCTGCGCATCCACCTACAATGATAATATTAAATTGATCTTCGCCTTTTCCTTCAAATTAATAAAAAAAAAAATATATTTAATGAATTTTTCTAAAATTGCAAATATTTTGAAGGCTTAAAAGGTAGTGCATTTACGTTTTGATACATTACTCCAATACTAGAAAAGTTAGAACAGAAAATGCACATGGAAATTAAAGCTGGATTTATCGAGTTTAAAACGTAGCTTAAAAGTATATTAAACATGAACATTAATGCTGGATATGTAGACTATAAAACGTGTTTGGTATAAACATTGTAGATTTATCAATTTGGCCGTAATATGCAGTCAAAAATGAAGTAATGTGAAATTAAGCAGTGTCTTCATATTTCCTTAAATTTCTCCAACACTAGAAAAGTTAGAACAGATATTGAATATGGAAATAAAAGCTGGATACATTGCGTTTGAAACGTGTTTAGTGTAAACATTGTAGCTCCAAGCATTCGGCTGTAATTTGAGGTCAAAGGTGAAGTAGTCTAAAAAAATGTGTCTTCACGTTTTTGTGTATTTCTCAAAAACTATCCATTACAGAATATAGATATAATTTTCAATTTAAACATAAAACTTTAAGCTTTAAAACGAAAGAGTTTATTTATTCTACCTCTATTGAGGTAAAATTCCAAATATTTTGAAGGTTGAAATGTTTGTGCATTTACGTTTTGATACATTTCTCCAATACAAGGAAATTAAAGATGAATTTATCGAGTTTAAAACGTAGCTTAAAAGTATATTAAACATGAAAATTAATGCTGGATATGTAGACTATAAAACGTGTTTGGTATAAACATTGTAGATCTATCAATTTGGCCGTAATATGGAGACAAAAATGAAGTAATGTGAAATTAAGCAGTGTCTTCATATTTTCTTAAATTTCTCCAACACTAGAAAAGTTAGAACATATGTTGAATATGGAAATAAAAGCTTGATATATTGGGTTTGAAACGTGCTTAGTTTAAACATTGTAGATCCAAGAATTCGGCTGTAATTTGAGGTCAAAGGTGAAGTATTTCTCAAAAACTATCCATAATATTCAATTTAAAATTAAAACTTTAAGCTCTAAAATGAAATAGTTTATTTATTCTACCTCTATTGATTTTCAGTACATTGAATATGAAAATTACTGGATAATTTGTTGGTAAGAGGACTAAATCTTGGAATAATTATGTTAACAAAATGTAATTTCTTACTATGTTTTTGTGTGTGTGTATATGTACAGAGATTAACTAAATTAGCTTCGGTGTTCTTAAGGTATGAAGAGATTTGCTTTGTGATTAATAATGAGGACTTAATTGGATTCGAGTCGGTTTCGGACACGTGCGGATTACTTGGAAAATAAGGGCAAAAACGCGGTTTCCGATTAGGACGCACCGTCGAGTATTCCCTTTGAGCTCCAAAGTCTCGGAAAATGTCGTAATTGAATTTTCGCACTGGATGGGAATCTCGCTTTTGACGCGAACGAAAAAGAATAAAGAAACATCTAACGACCGCGTCCAATTACTGTCGTTAATCTTAAGTCTTGACTGAGTGTGTTAGTGTATAGATTTTGCGGTCGGAAAATTGTTAACCATCCACCCACCAAGTGGGAAGAAGAAAAAGAGATGAAAAGGAAAACGTAGATACGTAAATTCTTGAAGTGTTCATCGATGATGATAGTGCGGTGCTGTTTGTCGATTGATAAGCTCCGGGAAGATTTCGGTTTATTATGCGAAATCAGTTGCGAGCGACTACATTTGCCATTATCTCATAATAATCCTCACTCTGCATGTGTGTCTGTGTGTATATGCTCCGGCCTCTATGCGCTCGTGTGTTTGTGGGTAATGAGTAAACATTACGATTTTTTCGACTAAATGCGAGATAAAAAGTCTATATAATAAATTGTGATATAATCGATTCGACTAGTGTTTATTGAGTGTTCGGCGCGCGAAGAAGATGTCCGGAAAACTGCTGAAAATTGGATTCATCGGGGGCGGAAAGATGGCCCAGGCGATGGCCAAAGGGTTCATATCCGCTGGTAAGTCACGCACTTACAATTCAAATCAATTCAAATTAATAAAATAACAATACAATAATAAATTTTCACAAAAACAAGAACTTGTTATGCACAAGTTCGTGTCTGAAAGTCCAGCTTCAAGAGATCTTTTTTCTCTCCGTTTTACGTAACAGCGAGCTGTTTGTTTGTGCACAAGTTTCCTTTCGAGTGAGTGAAGAAGCGCAATCTTATTTCGGATAAACTAAAATAAATACCGGAGCGTGAGATAAGGGATCCGATGTGGCCTGACCTTGCGCTAAATTTAGTCTAATAGAGTTTGGAAAAGTTGTCCGAAGACATTTTTCGAAAAATTTCTTATTTTGTTTTTAACTTTCAAGCGTTTTGTAAATATTTACTATTAGAACATTTATCTTTTTCGAACAATGAATCGCTGGAAAATTACTACAAGTGGGACCTTAAAATATATATAGATAAGGCTCTCTCTCTCTACCGTGTTTTCATAATTTTTATTATTATTTGTCGATTAATCCACGTGGAGTCACCTTCACCTGAGCAATTTATTAACCTCCAAGCATCTATCTTGTAAGCAAAATATTTGTGTTTGTTGGAATGGTCATGATCTGATAATCATCTCACAAGGAGACAATAGTAGATAAAAAAAGAAACAGAAACAATACAATGAAAATCTATTTTTATTATTAAGCTGTTACGTACTCATAAAATAATCATTAGATAGTTATGAACGTGCCACAACATCTGTTACATTACAGAACGAGAACGTATTTTCAAATACTTCATCATTTCCTTTTCCTTATGCTAATGTTTAAAAAAAATAGTATTACATCATTTACTTTTTACATTTCATTGTTTCCCATTTTGATTATAATCAGTTTTTTCTTTGCAATTTAATAAATTTATTAAAATCTTCCATATTCTATTAATCAAAAAGAACACTTACTTAGTCGAAGTTATGTTTGATATCTTATGTCTATATGGTAACATAGTTTTCTAGGAGATATTCTTCAAGATTGTTTTGTTACCACTGCAATCTCTTGCTTGATACTAAAGTTCAAAATGTCAATTTTAACTGTCTTCATTTGTAGGTTGATGTATGTAACATTAATTTGTATAAACCATGACGTTGTGATTTCGATTGAAATTTACAAATAATTTAAATACTTTGTCCATCTGCAGAAACTTAGTACAAATTATATCAGAAACTATAGATTTTTGTATATTTTGTAAATTTGAACGTTTTATTTAATAGTTTAATTAGAATATTGTGGAATGATATTTAGATATTTGAAATTGTATGAGATTCATCTAATGATTGATGTAAAATTTGGCAACTTATAATTAATTAATTCCTTTCACATTTTGTTAAATTTCTCAAATACTAGAATAGATTCAGAATATGTAAATTAAAGGTAAATATTTAGGGTTTAATGTGTGTTTGTTGCAATTATTGTAGTTTCATTAATTTTACTGTAAAAATGAAGTAATGTGAAACTAAGCATTGAAAAAGCAGTGTCTTCTCATTTTGTTAGTTTTCTCGAATACTAGAAAAACTAGAAAAAAATCAGAATATGTAAATTAAAGGTAAATATTTAGGGTTTAATAAGTGTTTGGTGCAATTATTCTAGTTTCATTAATTTAACTGTAAAAATGAAGTAATGTTAAACTAAGCATTGAAAAAGCAATGTCTTCACATTTTGTTAATTTTCTCGAATACTAAAAGAGTTAGAATAGATTCAGAATATGTAAATTAAAGCTAAATATTTAGGGTGTAATACGTGTTTGGTGCAATTATTGTAGTTTCATTAATTTAACTGAAAAAATGAAGTAATGTGAAGCATTGAAAAAGCAATGTCTTCACATTTTGTTAATTTTCTCGAATACTAGAAAAGTTAGAATAGATTCAGAATATTTAAATTAAAGATAAATATTTAGGGTTTAATACGTGTTTGGTGCAATTATTGTAGTATCATTAATTTGGCTGTAAAAATGAAGTAATGTGAAGCTAAGCATTGAAAAACCAGTGTCTTCACATTTTGTTAATTTTCTCGAATACTAGAAACGTTAGAATAGTTTAAGAATATTTAAATTAAAAGTAAATATTTAGGGTTTAATGCGTTTAGGGTTCAATTATTGCAGTTTCATTATTTTGGCCGTAATTTGCTGTCAAATATAAAGTAATTTAAAATATAGCCTCAAAAAGCAGTGTTTTCACATTTTGCTAAATTTCTCAAACACTATAAAATGTATAAAAGATATAGAATTTGTAAATTATAGCTAAATATATAGGCTTTAATACGTGTTTGGTGTAATTATTGTAGCTTTGTTAATTTGGCTATAATTTGAGGTCAAAAATGAAGTAACTTAAAATTAAGGCTCGAAAAATCATCTTTCTAAATTTACAATTTTCTAGAAGAATAAAATGCGCATATATAAATTTCGGTATTTGGATTGGCCGATGCTCATCGTAATGATGTTTCCGTTTAAAATAAATTTTTACTTGGAAACATCTTGCGGTGAAAACCGCGGAGGTCGCTCAAAATATAGAAATACACCACAAATTAGATTGAAAATAGCTGACAAAACCATAATGAAATTCATCATTTTTATAATTGCATCAATTCAACCTTCGTTACAAAAAAAGTAATAAATTTAATAATTTTAATAATTTGGATCAAATTTAGTTACTAGTTGAAGTTATCTAATTTAAAAAAGTTAACCAATGAATTGGTGATCTATACACTACCAAATATGAAAAAAGTAGTTTCAAAGTAAATATTTTTATCATATTTTTATTTGAGAAACATTTAGTAGTAGATAATTACATAATTTCGCGTTGATAAAAAATTGCGATGGTTGAAGGTAGGAAATTAACGACTAAACAAAGTATATTTATAGGAGGAAATGAATGGATCCGAAATAGATTAAAAGTCCGCTTAAAAACATGTCCCACTCCGAAATCGCGCATATAAATCCTCACCGAAAACTTTGCAAACTATTCGCTTATTTTCCTCCTCCGGTAAAACTCGCTTTTATTTTACCTCTTATTTTCGTTTCTTTTTTTTGTTACTTCTTTATTTACTTCTACATGTTCTTGCTTTGGAAATGAAATACGAGCGAAGATTGGAAACCGAATCCACCTGGCTGAACTTTCCGCTCGCAGCTTTAATATTATTATTATTATTATATCGCATATGTATATACAGCGACGTATTGCATGCGTTTCCGTCATTATTTCCCCTTTTTCGAAATTTATAACGGCACACTTATTTGCATATATACGCGAGGTACGATTGTTCTCGAATAAAGTTATTCCGGAATATTGCGTCCGTGCGTTTCGTTGCATGCCGAGCAATGGCACCGGCGATTACTCAACAAAAAGCACTTTGCAAATGGCATATTAATAAACTCCTTCTTCCCACTCGATTCTCTACATATTTATTTTCATTTTACTTTTTACATAATCATAAATAAAGCAATTACCTCAACGAAAAACATTAGTTTTACATGATAATTACATAAACTTTTATTACTTTCTATCTATAATAAATCAACTTCGACGTATTTATTATACTTGTATTCAAAATTCTTGATAAAAAACATTCATTATTGTCTATATTTTCAGGGTTGTCCAAGGGCGAAAGCATGATTGCAAGTTGTCATCCAAGCGATTTGGCTTCTCACGCCGCTTTCAAAGTAAGTAAATTCTATTAATTTATTGATGAATCTAATAATTATAAACAAATTTGTTAAGATGTATGATTGTTGAAACGAATAATTCTAATGCAGAAACCAATAAAAATTGCGCGAAGAACAATGAGATTTACGGAACGTTACGCAACAGACACGATCGTTGTGGTTGTGTTTTAATAACGATAGATTCTTGCGTCAGATCGTGTAAAAAAAAGTGATGAAGATTGCAATCAAAATAGGAAGGAAAATCGTACGAATCCGTTCGATGCGGATTCCAATAATAAAAATTCCATATGAAACTAATAAACAACTTTTATTTATTTCGTGCAGAATTCTCTTCCAATTCTCTTCTCAAATCCAATTTAAATTAGTTCGAGCGAACGACAACAATATCAGCAAAAAAAAATGCGAACGTTGATGGAAATTGGAAAAGTTCTGATTTTCTGTATAAATTTTTGTCGCTGTACAAATATTAAACAATATTTCTTTAAATTTGTTATAAAATATCTTATGAATTGATACGAATATTGTTAGCAATAAAAAAATTAATAAAATGCTAACTTTTTTAGGTTCCTGTTTTTTTTTTAATAAAGTTAAACCAAAAAATTTTGAAATTAAGCAAAATATGTGCGTTTTTTGTAACAGATATTTTTAATTATGGAAGGAAATATGTAATCATCCATCTGCCGCTCGAGAAAGTGTGAAAATGGAGACGCTACCTTTTGCTGTAATCGTTTTACTTTTTTAATTAAAAAAATTTAGAAAAAACTGATTCTAATTTATCCTTTTTGTTGCGTTACGAAATTGTTTGGATGAATGCGAAATTGTGCGTTTTTTTCTTTTCCATCAAATCTCATAACAGTTGTTTGTCGCATTCATGCTTAAATCTTCTCGGAAACTATACAAAGCTTAATTAAAAAAAAAAATAGTCATTAAATGTTGCTAAAAATAGAGACGTTCGTTTCCTATCATTTTGTAGAGTTATTAATTGAATGATCTAAGCGAAATTATTATACGAATGTCGTAATTCATGCTAACTTGTTTTTAATTTATCGTAGGACTTAAGTATTGTGATTTGGATAAATCGTTGTAATTTAATACTGATGGGAATTTAATAATCTGAGCGGCGAGGATAATTGTTGTTGCTTTTGTGTAGGATTTGGGTGCGGAATCGATCTTCGAAAATGTACCGGTCGTGCAGAAGTCGGACGTGGTAATAATCTCCGTTAAGCCGCAAGTAGTTCCGACGGCTTTGGGCGATATCAAGAAGGCGCAAGGGGTGAACGCGAACAAACTCTTCCTCTCTATTGCCATGGGAATCACCATCAAGCAGCTCGAGCAGGTAATTAGGGTGGTCGTGTTTAGACGGTTTAGACTTATCCGTTTCGGGCTTTGCAGTTTCTTCCCGGCGAGTCTAGAGTGGTGAGGGTGATGCCCAACACTCCGGCCTTGGTTCGTAGCGGAGCTTCCGTCTTCGTCTGCGGCCAGAAGGCAACAGAAGATGATGCTTCGATCACCAAGAAGTTGCTGGAATCCATCGGAACTTGCGAGCAGGTTACAGAGAATCTCTTGGATCCGATCACAGCTCTCAGCGGATCAGGACCGGCTTACGTAAGTTTCACAATTCATGTTATATAATAACATGGTTTAGTAAATCAAATTGTTTTGAGGATTAAGAAAATTGTATTAATTGTTGCTTTTTTGTAGATTTACATAATGATTGAGGCGTTGGCCGATGGCGGTGTGAAAATGGGTCTTCCTCGTGATCTCGCATACAGACTGGCCTCGCAGACCGTCCTTGGCGCCGGACAAATGGTCAGAGACACGAAGATACACCCAGGTGTGCTGAAAGACGACGTGACTTCTCCTGCTGGTAGCACGGCAGCTGGACTGCACTTCTTGGAGCAGAAAGGTACGACCTATTTGTCAAAGTTAATATGCATGCACAGGTGTCCGACCCGTAAGACGACGAAGGCTACAGGAAGGATGCATCCTTCTGCAAAGAATATACCCATAACAACAACAACAACAGCCAACAACAACAAAAGAAGAAAACACAAGGGAAACGCATGAAACTAAATTTAAACTCGCAACCCCGCAGCTGGAGTAATTAGAAAATTAATTAAGTCTGCAGCGGGGTGTGTTCGTTCACTTCTTTTATTTCATTCGCAAACTTTTTCTTTTTATTCGTTGCTTCATGTGCATTGATCGAAGGGAGAAGCGGTAATTGATGCGATACTTCCGTTTAGGTTTCAGATCCGCACTGATTGGAGCCATCGAGACGGCCACGAAGAGATGTCGCGAAGTTTCCCAGGCGGACGCCACCAAATGAGACTACTTATTTATTCTTACCTGCTAGTTCATAGTTAGATAGTTTTTGTTTTTTCGAATAACTTTTAGTCCAATTGTTTTTTTTTTACAAAAAGAATATGTGATTATTTAACAAATATATAGACGACTTATTTTTTTGAACACTGTCTCCGCTTGTTTCTCTTTTTTTTATCATTCGGCTGTTTCACATTTCAAATGTGATGATGGAAGGAACAGTTAGAGCTGGAATTGCGTGAATGCAACGTTCCGTACATTTGCATACGGCATGTTGTTTTTTTCTTTTATTCTTATACTCTTCTTTCCCTTCTGCGTCCGTATTTTTTTTTCTTTACAACGTTTTTGACACACACGCTCTAAACGGTTTCGACTCTTTGGACATCTTATTACTTACAACTGCAACAAACACGACCTGCACTTTCTGCATTGCTCCTTTTCATTTACATTAGTCATTTTACAAAAAAAAATAAAAAAGATACTATTACTACATGTGAGTAAAATGAATCCATTCCAATAAATTATTAATTAAACAAAGTCTATTTTAATTAATATGTAATTTGTATAATTTAAAAAGTTATGAAAATAATAAGAATTTAATAAATTAGAAAAATCAGTATTTCGACATGTGCTGAGTGTTGTTGTTTTAGTTTATACTTTTTTCGTGTACGTAAATGTAAAATTGCATAATTCCGATAAAGACTAATTAATCCGAGTTGTTTGTCGGATCGACTACAAAAAAAACAGTCCAGTAGTTTTCCTTGTTTTCTCACCATCACATGTTGTTTAATTGGTTCGAGGTAACAGTGTATCATTGGAGTAGGTATCAACGAAACAGTGAGTATTGAAATTCTATAAAATAATTCAAGTTTAATACTAATAATTTTACTTTTATTGATTGATTCTCTTGATGTAAGCGTTCATATAAATTATAATTGTAAGGAATGAAAAGACGTTACGTAATAAGTTTATAAGAAATAATTGTTTTGTTTGATTAAAGTAGGCGCATCTCAATGTCAAAGGATATCACGTTTCTATCATAGTCTCAATGCATTATTTGTCTTTTGTTTTGCCAAAACAATGTTGTTTTTTGTTTCAATAGCCAAGTGTTGTTCATTGCTATTCTTTGTTCAACAAAATCTCCATCGACAGTGAAATAGTTCATCTACTAAAAATAGGTATTTCTTTATTTCATGTTTTTATTAATTTTTATTTCAACATTTTATTATTCCATATGTTTCATTTAAACATGATTTTATATGTTGATCAAAGTTAGTTATCGTTAGTTTTCTCTTATGACAAACTTTGTTTGTTGCATAGGTTTCCATGTTTCAATTTATTTAAAACTATTAAAATCCAAGTGGTTGTCGTATCGATTGATTAGTTGTTTCTTTTATGTCAAGCAGTTGTTTGTTTGCATTTTTTTTTCTTCAAGAAATGTCAATTCTTTACAGTCAAGTGTTGTTCTTTCAAGAAATCTGTTATAGGAAGTGCTTCAATAAATTCATGGCTAAAACTTTATGGACTTGGACAGAACTCACCTTTCGCCGCTTGAACAACAGGTATTTTATTTGAATCTAATTAATTACAGCATTTAACACATTTCACCGCATTTTCTTTTTCGAAAATGTATTTCCAGAAATGTAAAATTTTAAACTGTAAATCATAGTTTGACAGGGATGGATTCAGAAAAAATTCTCTTATAATTGTTTTTGTTTTTTAGATTTAATGCATTTGTATTTCAATATTAAGTTCTTCTTTTTACATTACTATATTTTGTCGAAGTAAATAATTCTGCATTTTCGTAATTTCAATTGTTTTTAATCGTTAATAATGTAATAATCATTATTTATAAATCTGTCTGAAAATTTGCAATTTTCTCTTGCTTTTTTTTGTTGTTGTACGCACTTTACGATGTTATTCACATATTCGTAATGAAGTCGGGGGAACCGAATTGAAAGAGCCGCAATTGCCATACTCGTTACCGCGCGCCCAATTATGGAATTGAAAAGCTCGCGACGATCATTTTCTTTTGAGATTTCTGCGATCGCGGAATGTAACCGTATGTGTGTGTTTGTATGTATATTTGAGAGAGAAAAGGAGGAAACGCGAAGGCTCTGTTGCATAATTGGTACTTAGATCACGACTTATTTTTAGTCCAAAAACAGTAACTTTGGATTGTATATATTTAATGTTTGCTTCTTTATAAAGTATTTTATAATCTAACTAAAGTATTATAAATTGAAATATCTTTTTTGCATCTTGTTTGCAAACATCCATTTGTAAAATTATTTACTAATGAAACAATTTCAATTCATTTTCTGTATAAAATCAACGTACTTTTTTTTTTCTTGTATAACTTGTAATTTTTTCGTAAATTGTAAATGTTTACATGGGTTTTTAGTAAATTGAATATATTTGTATGGGGTTTTACTGGCATCTTCGTGCTATTTCCTAGCCGCCTGCTACGAGCTGTAGAAATTGGATAAGAAAGTGAATAGGATTTTCTTAAAAATATTTACATGAGTTTTCAATAAATTGGTGGTTTTTGTTGCGTAAGAATCGCACAGTACCACGGTTCTGTTCCAGCCATTTTGATGGTTTTCACTCCTTAATAAAAAAAGGATAGGTGTAAAATGAATACTATTTCTGTTCATTTGATTAATAAGTATTGCAACAAACAATAGAATTAGTTAGTTAATTATTTACAAATTTTGATTGTCATATGTAGAGTAATCCAATTTTCCTTTGAAGTTGCGATTGTGAAATGTAGAAGCTATGTATGTGGAGATGGTAGGAAATCCCAGATTGGATACATAATATAGGTTGTTAGTTCGCGACTTATTTTTGGTCCAAAAACAGTAACTTTGGATTGTGTTTATTTAATGTTTGCTTCTCTATAAAGTATTTTATAATATAACAGAATTATTATGAATTGAAATATCTTTTTTGCATCTTGTTTGCAAACATCCATTTCTAGAATTATGAAACAATTTCAATGCTAAAGGAACTGTATAAAATCAACGTACTTTTTTTTTCTTGCATAACTTATGTTTTTTTCGTAAATTGCAAACGTTTATATGGGTTTTTAGTAAATTGAACATATTTGCATGGGAAATAGCATGAAGATGTCAGTAAAACCTATCTTCGTGCTATTTCCTAGTCGCCTGCTACGAGCTGTAGAAATTGGAAAAAAAAGTAAATAGGATTTTCTTAAAAATTCTATTCACTTACATGTGTTGTTTGCAAACATTCATTTCTAGAATTATTTACTAATTAAACATTAAAGGAACTGTATAAAATTAACGTACTTTTTTTTTCTTGCATAACTTATGTTTTATTCGTAAATTGTAAATGTTTATATGGGTTTTTAGTAAATTAAACATATTTACATGGGAAATAGCATGAAGATGTCAGTAAAACGTATCTTCGTGCTATTTCCTAGTCGCCTGCTACGAGCTGTAAAAATTGGAAAAAAAAAATAAATAGAATTTTCTTAAAAATTCTATTCACTTACATGTGTTTTCATATATTTCCATGGGTTTTCATATATTTCCATGGGTTTTCAATAAATTGAAAATAGGTATAAAATGAATGCTATTTCTTTTCTTTTGATTAATAAGTTTTGCAACAAACAATAGAATTAATTAATTGCTCTCAGTGTTAATTATTTATACATTTTGCTTGTTATATGTATACTTATTAATATTGCTTTGTAAAAAATGAGTGATCCAATTTTCGTTTAAAGTTGCGATTGTGAAATGGAGAAGTTATAAATGTAGAGATGGTAGGAAATCCCAGATTGGATACATAATATAGGTTGTTAGTTCGCGACTTATTTTTGGTCCAGATAAACTTTTGCCTGTGTTATTATGTGTGCTAGGTGTATGTATGTGTGTGAGAGAGTGTGGGTGTGTATAATAGTGAGTGAGTGAGGTCGGGGACAGCAGGGGGTCTAGCTTGGCACGTGCTTGCTAAAACACCAGCTGATTCGGAGCAGACCCGGCGTCTTTGGCGTGACCGTGGCGCGCGCTCTCTTTTCCTTCGGGATCCGTAGCAGGTTCTGCTGGTCCGGGGTACGGTTGTGGGTTAGGCCGGTTGCTGCCGCTCGCAGGACCTCCGGCTAGGATCAGCTAGGGTCCTGACTCACGTTGTGGTGCGCGGGGCTCCCCTCCAGAGCGGTTGCGCAATAGAATCCCCAGTCAGCTGAGTGTCAAACGCTATCGAACGGGGCCAGGACGGTGCAGGCAGCCTGCCAGACCTTCCGTCGCTTATTCAATGTAATAATACCGAGCGCGGCGGTTTCCACCTGCGATTCGCGAACGGACCCCACGGCGAAGACCTCCAGGCCACCGAACCAAATAGAACGAAATTTAAAAAAGAGAGAGATCAAAAATATTATATAACATTTAAATAAATAAAGCAGCAGCAGCAACAAAAGAAACCGCAACCTACGAGGAGGAGGAAACCGACGGTAGAGACTCAGCCATCTAGGATCTCTCCTTCATCGGTGAGTCCTCTCCCCAAGTCGCTTGCATTTTTTTTTTATCACTACGGGCTTTAGGAATGAAAAGACTATATTTCCTGCACTTTTCGCCGCCCGGCCTTTTCCAATTTCAAATCCGTAGAGAGAGGTTAAGTGTCTTTGTTCCGGTTCCGCGCATGGCTGTTGCGAACCGGAATTTTCCGCCTCCGGAAGAAGCCGGCCGGTTTTTCCCTGAAACCGGTGTCCAGGTCATTTTTTGCGCTCCCCGTTCTCGTAACTTATACCATTTTCCGGGTTGGGCTTCGAACGAAAACCGGAAAAAGTTACGCAGATAGATAGAGCGAAAGAGAGTGAGAGAGAGAGAATGCGGTGAATGTTCGTGTGGGAGAGAGAGATGGAATGATCGAATCGATGTCTCGTTGCGCGATTCCACCGGGCCTCGGAGGTGTGTAATTGTCGCGCGCTTCTGCTCAGCCTGGTGCTCTGCTCTGATCCGCTGTTGCCCTGCACTGTTGCTAACCGGCTTTTCCTCCACTCCGCGCTCCGAATCGGAGAACTGCAATTACCATTTCTAATTACTAGGTAGGCCATTTTCCACCGCCCGCCCCGGATTGTTTTCCCAATATCTCTGCACAAAGGAACTCAACTCTACTCCTGCATCCACCGTCTTTTAACAGCACCACTCTAGGAAATAACCATTTTCTGCCCTCTCTTCTCCAACTAACAACTAACATATTTCTAGAACTTTCAATTGAAAATATATTCAAATAGAATTAATCCTCTTGCACAATACACACTTCTTTACCGAAACATTATTCAATTCCAAAATAATACAAAACGAAACTCACCATAATCAATAGATATTTTCATAATTTAAAAAAAAATCACATTTAATTACATGCATTTATATAACAAACGTAAGTTATTTTATTATAACTTTTAATATCTAATTTTGTATTTTTAATTTCAAATATATTCAATTTCTTGTTCAAACATAATTTCTCTATTGTGACATTATTCAATTATAAAAATATATAATCTCGTCCTAATTGTATGAAAAATATACTTTCAAAGTTTAGTAATTTAAAAATATTAAAAAAAATTATATAGGCTTCCTTATTATAACATTATTAAATTCCAAAAGTATACAAAGGAAACTTATTCTGATTAAATTGAAAATTGTAAAAAAAAATCCAGGACTAATCAATATTAGTTTTAATTACAGGCTTTAATATAAGAAATGAAAATCGATAAAGCGAAATAAAAATTATTTCCTGCAACATAAATCAATACCGAATAAGTTATATTCGTAAATGAAAAATGTGATTTAAAGAAATAAGAGAAATTATTCGAGAAACCGAAAAGAAAGTCCTTCAAATCTCTTTTTGTTTTAACTATAAACTTCTGATTTTCTATTTCTTTTTAATTTCTAAATATATAAATATATATTTTCTTGGTTTTCCCGTGTTCGTTTCACTTCGTCTTAAATATGAAACACCGAAAAAGAAAATGCTAGAGTAGAAGTAGAACGAAATTTATGGACCGCAACATCTATTATCTTTTTCCTCCGCGCACATTTTTGTCCCTCTTTCCTTCGCATTTTTTTTTTGGTGCGCTTTCCTCTCCTTCCCCCACACGCCCAACTATAATTTGCGGACTTCGGGAAAACGCTAACGGAGTAAATTGAGCGAAATCCAAAGCTTAACTGGAACTTGCATAAGTTATGGCTGGGGAAGGAAGGAAAAAAAAGAAGAATGTTGTGTAATCTTGGAGGAAACCTTTTTTTTTTCGCCCGGGTCTCTCTCTCTCCTTCGATCCCTTTGGGTGGATGTTGGAAGGAAGGAGAGGGTGTTAAGGGAAAAAATTCGGGTCTGGATTAAATTAAATTAAGTGTGAGATGATTAAAGTAATTTGCTTGGCCCGAAATATTTTTTTTGGGTTTTCCTTCTCTCCCTCCGTTTTTCCATGCTAAGAACAAAAATTATAGCTTCCTTTTGTTGGGTCGGTCGGTAATTTGATTGGTGGTCGAGGTGGAAGCAGGGACAGTCCTATTTTATTAGGACTCTTGTTTCATCATTCCATCTTCTTTGCTTCTCTTTAAATATAAATTCGAGTTACCCTTCGCAAGTATTTATTTTGCGACGGGCCAATTTGTATTTAAATTTTGGGCGACTTTCATCCACTTCTTTTTTTTTTTCCAGCCTTTGATGTTTGACTACAATTTCCTTTAATAATATCATCGAATGTTAAAAGTTCATTTCTCCTGCTCTTTTGATCTCCATGAGTGAGAGTCTCTTTTTTTTTCATTTACTTTGAAAAGAACAGATCTGTTTTCAATCATTCATTTAAGTTCATTTCCGTATGCGAAATAACAATTCTCGCAGACATGTATTGACTTCGCGTCTCATCAAAGAGGGAACAAAGAGGAAATGTTTAATTAAGAGCGGTTAGGTTACAAATAAATGTCAATCAATTTCAAATACATTTATAATTACTTTCTTCATGTATAAAGAGAGATTTCATTGAGGACATTTAAGGAATTAATATCAATATCGAAGATAAAACGCATAATCGTGGATCAAATTGAAGATTATATAAAAATTAACTATCATTAAATGGAATACAAATTGGAACAAATCTGCAATCATTTTTTTGTTCTGTTTTGCTGAGCATATGATGAACATGCGAATTCGTGTGTTATTATTGTGTTGTAATTATGTTGATAATGTGGAATATTAAGGTTGATTCTTTGTGGAAGTTCCGCATCGGCGATGCCCATTGCTAACGTACATTAATACGAGTATGTACGTACGTATGAATTGTGTGTGTGTGTATGTACAAACTGTCCGTGCGTTATTTGCATTAACCGGGAATTACTTTGCAATTGTTGTTTGCGAGATAATGGCCTAGTGGTATAACTGTAACTGTAATACTTGAAATGAGAGAATGATGCGGAGAGGTCTGCAATCACCGTCTCTCAAATCCACATACGTAACAACAACAACAACAACAATCGCAGCAAAGATGCTTCCAGAGAATAGTTTTTAAGACGTACCGGTACGTCGGCGATGACTCAGAAATTATCCTGAATCTTGTAAAACTTGTTTCTCTTTTTTTTTATTTATTATTATTCTTCATAAAAGTGTATTTATACGATTACCACATTTCTATTTCTAACATCAATAACATTAAATAAATAAAAGGCGAGAATATAAAAACGAGTGAAGAGAGAGATTGCAACTTTTTTTCTTCTTCTATTATTTTTACACAACAGTAGTTCAAACTATCACGAGAATAATGCACAATTTATTTAGCGCTAAATTTAAATTGTAATTCCAGTTACTACTTCTTGCTGAAAACCTCCACAGGTGCAAACGACCTCGACGTTTCTATAAATAACTATCGAGGTAGTTCAACTAAATCCATCTCTAAATGGAAAATACTTTATTTTTTCCTTTTATTCTGTTGACTCTGGTAGAAAGGATATACGTGCATGTTTCATATTTAATAATGAAAATGTGCGTTGAAAGTCTATTAATAAACGATAAAATCGAAAAAGTTTATTTTTAGGAATTACTCAAAAATAAGTACGTTAGAAATGATTTTTCTATGAGATTTTCTACAATTTCTTTTGTGTAGTCTTTCTGTAGGAACTTTTTACTTTTTACAATTAGAAATTTCTATTGCATGTCGTTGTGTACAAACACAATATTTCTAATTATACTTTAGTTAATATTCAATTCGTGTCTGTGTGGTGGAAACCATCGAAGGTTGCTTAGAAATCTAAGCTCAATATATGTTAGTAAAATTTATTGATGTTTTTTTTCAAATTGTATTTGTTTGCAATGTTTAATGATTTATATAATTGTTGTTATTGCTTAAAATGTAGTTTTATGAATACGTGTATTAACTAGTTTCTAATTGTTTTTTTTTCCTATAATTGTTGCATATTGATAATACAGTGTTATTCATTCCGAAGCGTAGATTTGTAAAAATTTGGTAGAAACAAACTGCAGACGATTTGTTTAGAAAATTCGGTGTTTCGCTTGTTTTCGTCTGTCATGGCGGGCCGTGATAAATGTATTTATCGGAGGCGAAACGCGGATAGTATCCAATAATAAATAGATCAGCAGTTTCGTGACACGAACGAAAAAAAAAAATAGTACAGAAGAAGGGAAGCAGTATCAGAGGAATCCAGATCGGTGGCATCGCACAAGCAGTCTCCTTTCCTTCTCCGACAAAACGAAACTCACGTTACATAATAATGGTCGCAGTAATTTATCCAACTTCTCCAGTTTCGCATCGCGCTCACTCGCGCATTCGTGTCATCTGTTAAAATGCCTTGTTTACGTAATCGATCCTAATTTATATATTTTTTTGTTGTTGTTGTTTCTTTTGCTCGAAGGGAAATTATATTAATAATCCGAAGCTGCGAGGGAGTGACAGGGCATACAAACACACGCTCAAAAAAAAAAAATGGTACATGTTTTCTCTTTCGTCTCGTTTTCTATTTATGTTACATAATTCGTAAGAATCGAACGAGTGGAAGCGAGAGAAGCGAGTAGAGAGAATGAAAGAAAGACATAACCGGAGGAATTGATAGAATGAAATTGTATTTTGTCAGTGGAAATTTTTACGGTTTCATTATTTGTTGTAATGATAAATCACTTTAATGACCGAGGTGTTTAATTATTTTTTTTACGCGCTGCGTTGATTATTATTATATATATATATATCTTTCTTATTCCTCTTAGGTTGTTCTTTCTTTTGTTATTTTTATTTCGAGCTTCGTGTGGCGTTTATTTATTGAGTAATTAATTCGAAATTCATTTTCCTTTCACTTTTTTTTTGTTGTTTGTTATTAATTTCACGTTTATTTATAGCATCAGCACCAGATATATAAATATTCTTCCATCCATTGTGTTCAAATAGAAATTTGTAATTTTTTTTTTAAGTTGTGTAATTTTTATTCACAATCTGTTCATCAATGTGAACATTGAGTAAATTTAAGATCGCGGTTGACATTAAATGGATAATCTTTCTCAGTGAATAGTTACCATTATGATGATTCGATTTTTTTAATTTGTTGGCTAAGAAGTTTAACTTCAGTAGTATATTGATGCCACTATTTCCTTTGACTGTGAATCTGTTGCTATCCTTAACACTGTCATTGTCCATCGTCTTTTGGCTGAAGGTCCATATGCTGATGAATCTCATTCATTTCACTGTCCATCTGTGATGAACTATGGCCCTATTGCTGCAAGCATCTAGAGGGCTCACAAAGGGCCTGGCTTGACAAGGATTTGAACCTGCGCCCACTAGCTGTAAATAAATCAATAAAAGTATAAAAAGAAATTAAATTAATTGGATTTCATGAGAATGTAGATGTTAAAATATATCAATTTATATATGTTGATTTTCAGTGAATCACAAGAATCTAACTACTATAGAAAAATAAACAAACGAATCCATCATAATTATTAATATTTCTCCTTCTCTTTCTCAATATTGTGATTAATCGTTGTTACGCACAGAGGCGGAGTGAGAGAGGAAGACACAGGTTGTGTTTATGGTATAGCGTTCATGAATTATTACCTCTCCACCTATTTATCATATATCTATCTATATATATACTTATTTTTCTTTCTATCTTTCCTATACACCTAATTTATGAGGCTCGACTAATTGGAAATAGATTAGATAAGTGCTACCTTGTCGCGCGAAGTTAATTCCAATTTATTTATTTATTCTTATCCAAATTAGACTGAGGTTTCCCTTTTTCATTCTATTTTTCTCGTTTCGTGCGTACTTTTTTTTTTATTTCGTTCGTTAACGTCGGATGTTCGAATTATTTATTTACCTCCTGTAATTCATGCACGGAAACAGGCAACGCATAGGTGGTACTTTTTTGTTTTGTTTATTTTGTACGGTTCGCTTTCATAATGCAATCAGAATAATGGACTCACTCCCAAAGACGCAGCTAATGAATATTAATATTTTTGTTTTATTCAATTCAATTTCAAACATTGTATATAAAGAAACATTTATTATGAAATTATTTCTATATTTGATCTGTCTCTGAATTAGTTGATGTTTCATTTGGTTTTATTAGTGGAATAAAAGTATCGTCTTAAAGTGAAATAGGGGTTGTAAGTTGTTTATATTTGGTGTGTTAATTCGTATATTATATAAAGGGTTGGAAGGTGTATGCGTGTCAGGGAGTATTAAATTTTTTTTGTGTGTGTGCGAGCGGTTTGGGTCCATTTGAATTATTAATTCCATAGACGTCAGAGATAGAGGGTGGTTTTGGAATTTTTGCGGCCGGACCGCATGAATTTATAGTTGCACCACCGAATCCCGCCCTGAATAATTTACCTATTCGACCTCCGCCACGAAAATTAAACGCAGAGGTCCTCAATCCAAGAACAAACAGCCGCAAAACCACCCTCTCCTCTTCGTCCTTACCGGTTTCTGCATTTCCTTATTCGCTGTATCTCATTTTCATTTAAAAAATACGGTTATTCTTAATACCCTTTTCGTATTTCACTTTCTAATCAGGACGATGTCGAGCCGAAAATTACCCACGTTGCATATTTAATAAAGCAGCGAAATTTATAGGGGACGAAATTTGATTACAATGAAATTCGTATTAATACGGCCCAAAAATGTCCCTTCTCCGTGTTTTTCAGTGGGGGTGATGTATGGTTTGGATCAAGATTGAATTTCAAATTGGGACTGGATTTATAAAAAGCTGGAATGGAAGTTGTTTAATCGAGCGGAATATTCCTAAATGTTTTCGAATTTCGACTCTTTGCTAAATTACAATTTCTGTTGCGTGTGTTTCTGTTTGTATGAGTGTGCGTCTGGCTTATAATACGGAAGGCTCAAGGTCTCAATTTAATAACTACCGGTAGGCGTTCCACTAATTCCAATTTTTTTTTATACACCCATTGTTGTTGTTATTCTCTCACCTGATTTCTTGTTATACTTATTTTCAAGACGACTTGTTGCCTCAGCTGAATGCCAATTTTTAATGCAAACATCGATGATTTTTTTTTGTATCCTTACCGTTTAGTCACAGTATCTTCAGTTTAACGCATACAAAATGATGTAATCCAAAAGGGTGCAGCGTTTCAAAATATTTATGTTTCTTTAAGGTTCGAGGATGAATCGCCGCGATTTTCCGGTTAAACGAGTCGTTCCAATGCTGCTGCGATTGATCCTTCGGTTAATTACTCGCCAGTTTCGTATCGGGAAGGGAATATCGTTGCAACGACGCGTGCTCGTCTTTCCATTCCATTATTGTAATTAATAATAATCGCCGGAATCGGGCGTGGAAAATTATTTTAAAGAAATAAGTAGGATGAGGATGTTCTTAGCTCGTTGACTATCGGAGATGGAAGTAAAACCACATGCAGTATTTAGACGCTATCGGCTTTGAATCTTAATGGACGGAAGTTATGTGTGGTTGGAGTGAATAACGTGGAAATTATTGATTTGAGCTTTCTCCTTGAAATTATTCTCATCTGTTGCGTTGGGTTTTATGTGATTTTTCGTTTTGTGTCTATCAGGTATTTTCTAATAAGTCTCATAAGTCAGAACTGCAGCACTTTTAATTATAACACCTTATGGGAAATTAGCGTTATTTTAATAATAATAATAATCAAGTTTATTGACCAAAAGAACAGATACAAAGAAAATAAAATGAAACAAATTTACAATGAGTACATTTGGCCAAAGGGAACCGAATCAGTTTTTCCAACTAAAAAACAAAAGATCAACTGTTCTTCCTTTGGTCCCGAAAAAAATAAAATAAATATAAAGTACACAATTCCTTTGGTCCCGAAAAAAGTACAAAATTTCCCACAATAGCATAAATTAAAAAGCGTGTAAATACAATATAATAAATATAAAGTAAACAATTAGCCCAAAATAAAAAGCAAGTGAAATAATAGTAAATAAACAAGGTAAAAATCATATAAATATATAGAAAAGTACATAAAGACAAAAATATAAAATATATAAAAGAATAGCAGCTGCATAAGATCATCGAGAATTGAGTTTGTAAATAAACAAATAAACAAGCAAACAAACCAACAAAGGGCACGCACCAAATACAAAAATTAAAAAGAAAAACAAAAATTCGTGTGCAAAAACGTGCGCAGCACTAAATGATTTCTTCTGAGGCGCCGTTTAGAAACTAGCGAACAGCGATTGTGTAAGTTGTCGATTTCCTGTTAAGTGGACAAACATGTTTGCGTTGAGTGAGGTCCACACTGTGATAACAAACAATGTGCATCTAAACTATATATGTGTATGCTTGTGTGTGCGAGAGTTATTTGCGTTGCAATCCACTAATTTCGATGTTTTCTCTGCTGTGTTTCAGGCATAAACAAGGAAGGAGGAATTGAATTGAAAGTGCAAAGCGATCGAAATTTGAAGAAATAAAAACTCAGTATTACATACTCGTTGTATATACTTGTAGAGATTATTATTATATATAAATTATACATATATATATATATATATTTGGCAGTTGAGTGAGAAAAATTTGGAGCTTTGAAATTGGCCTTATCTTAGAGATATTTAGAAGAGAGTCGTGGTAGTTTTTGGAATTTTGTGGAAACGATTTTGTTCAAATTTTTTTGAAGCAGTGATAGAAAGAGAGAAGCAAAATGTTCGTCCAAACCGAATTTAATAATAAATCAAACAACAATAATGAGCTGAGCAGGACGGCGGCTGCTGCGGCGGCGGCGGCTCAGCAGTCCGGTGATCTGTTCAAGGATCTGGATCTGATCTCGAGGTTCTGCGTTCCGATCTGTTCGCGGGACAACGAGATCCGCGAGGTCGCCTTGGACGTGATCTCGAAGACGGTCGAAGGGTGGCTGGACGGGGTGGGAAGCCCGAAGCATTACCGGCTCTCGCAGACCGATCGCAGGAGGCCGACGGGGGTGTGCGCCTGCTCGGATTCTTCCAATTCCGCCGCCGTCGATGTGCCGCGCGAGTACATGGACCTGGTGGCCCTTCACCTGCCCATCATCCTCAGGCTATCAATCAGCTGTCCATTTGCTAACGTCAGGGAGAAGTGTCAACATATCTTGGAAGTCGTGCAGGTATTGTAACATCATCATAACATTATATTTTCAATAATTTACAATGATCAGTAATAGTTAATTTTCATTAGTAATTTGTACGTTTTTTTAGAATATTTCAATTAATTTCAGGAAAATTACCAATTTAAATATTTAAACAAAAGTTATTTGCTTTAAAAAAATCTTTCTCATTTGGTCAATTAGTTTCAGTGAAAAGCATATGTTTCGCAGTTGTAATAAAGACTAAATTTTCCGATGATTTTCTCGTTTTTTTTTTATTTAAAAAAAAGCTGTTCTTTGATTTGAAATTTGTCATGTGGTCTTTCTATCTACTATATATGTTATTAGAAGATGTCAATTAGTTTCGTT